TATTCGCTTATTTTTTTGTTTGTTTTTTTAATTCTTTTCCCTTTTTTAAAATGTGGGTTTTATACATAATTTTCAAGAACTTATAATGTCCAGTCTCAGATAAACAAATGAAACGATTAATTTGTGATATGATTTTGGCCTAACTGTCAAAAAGTATAGCTCTTAAATGTTATGTATTAAGAGTGGTTAATTAAGATTATGCTAGTGATCAGATTGAGTTTAAAACATTGTCCTATTAACAAGGGAGGCAAAAGAGAAATGTAAAAGAGATATGTTAAAAAAAAAAAAGATGAGCCAGCTGGGTTTACTAAACCAGTTTGCCATGATCTGGTTTGAAATTATCTTCATCTGTAAGTCTTCTGTTCTCATTGTTTATCACAGTGGCGGTCCTGGCGGAGGCAGGTGTAGTAAGATGGGGGCAGGTGCCCCCAATAAAAAAAATAATTAGTGTAAATTGTTATAAAAAATATTCTTGTCTAAGACTCCCACTAAAAGGGGAGCCATAAAAACTCTCCCGGACATACCTCCCTAGGTGTCTCCTTCCTTTGCTCAGATCTAGCTTCTCCTCCTCTCTCACCGGTCGTTTGTCGACGCTCCGCCTCTCCCCTCCTCCTTTACTCAGATCTGCCTCCTTGCGTCGAGTCTTTCTCCGGCCTTTGGCCGTGAGAAAGGGCCGACACCTTTCTCCTCCGCGTCGTCTCGTCTTCAATCTCTCCCATCATGTTGCTCCTTTGCTTCTCGTCGTCAAGCTGTCTTCACACATCATCTCGCCGTCTCGCCGTCTCCATGACTCGTTGGATGGTTGATTTTAGAGCGCTGCGCTCTCCTCTGCTCTCCTCCGTCAGATCTGGCTTGTCGTCGCCAGCGAGTCTTCCTCTCCCCCTGCAAGGCTGCCCCTCATTGTTTGTCATCTGTTACCCAAAGGATGCCTTTCTGCAGTTGGTTTTGGAGATTACGAAGCTCGCTTCTGTCCGACCACCGCCATGATCGCTTTTCTCAGAGGGTTTAGCTCATCCTCCGACAATACCATCTCCTTTCCTCTCCCGGTCCTCTAGGTTTGCTCCTGCTCTTCACTCTCTGTTTCCTCTGCTTTGGAATGTTATCGGATGATTGTTGAGTGGGTGGCTCTGGTTTTGTGGAATCTGGGTTTGATTTGTTATGTCATGATGGTTTTGGTCGCCTTCGGTTCCACTCTTCTGCCCTGTAGTGGCATACTTATCGCCTTGGTGCGATCTTTTACTGCAGTTTGCAGTGTCTTTACTGTGGAATACAGTGTCCTTACTGCGGTATACAGTTTCTCTATTGTACTCAATCCGGTTTTTGGTGCTGTGAGTTTGTTTTCTTTCTTTTGGTGGCAGATTGAAGATGAATCAAACATTACGTCTCCTCCGGTGATTCAGGTTCCATCGGTGTTTGTAACCCTTTGGGTTGCATTGGATGCAGTCTTTCAAGAAGTTCATGAGATCGTTTTAGTTTTTTGATTTCTTATGGCTTTTTATGAGTTGTATTGCCAATCTATTTTTCGGCACTTGTTGCCTTGCTTTCATGTATTCTCTCTTTTGTTGGTTGCATTTTTTATTTTGTCGATAGAGTTTGAGGCTCCTAAGTAATGAAAAAGTATTTGTTTGACAAAAAAAAATGATTCTTGTCTCCACACCATATAATATATTTGTTCTTATCATTTGATAATGTTTTAGTATAATTGTTTTTGCTTCTAATAAAAAATACTCCTAGCTCCGCCACTGTTTGTCAAACAATTTTGTCTTTTGTTATTGTTAGTTTTACATTTTTAAGATAATAATACTAAAGAGATCTCTAATACTAAATGTCCATGTTTTGGTCTTTCTTGTTTTTTTGGGAATGTATCCAACTATCCATGATTAAACATGGAAACAGAGAGAACTGTGGCAAATGTTACACAAATATGACTACGCATGGTGGTCTTTGATCCACATTAATCTGTAATGTTTTACATATCTTTCTTTGATCCACCTTAATCTGTAATGTTTTACATATCTTTCTTTGATCAAATTTTTGATGTCACATCTATGTTTACGTATTTTAGAATTTCCTATATTCAAATATTTAAACCTATTCAAACCTTTGTACGATGGTCAATCGACAAATAATCAGTTATCTTCAACACGACAGGTAAAAGTGACTATTCTTTGTGTTTAGGAAACACAAAAGTATGAGAAATACTTTGGCAACCCCCGCAGCACCAAAAGTACGGATTAGTGTTTTGCGATTAAATTGTTAGCTAACTGGCAAAGACAACAAAAATAGGTGAAAGTACATGAGTATACGACTTTTAGATCATAATAGATAAAATATCTTGAAAAAAATCGGGATTTTTAGTCAGCTCTTTTTTTATAGCTTTGACGGCCAGGATCAATGACAAATTACCAACATATTGTGGGTCCGCTAAATCACATGCTTCGACAAAAATCACAACTGTGTCTAGCTATCATTGCAATATTTCCAATTCTTCCTTCGAATTATATTTTATTTTAAATAACTTGTCTTTCAAAAGAAATCACATAGCTTCTACGATCAACCGATATATCTAACAAACTTTGAATAAAACTTCGATCATCATCACATTTTGGGCTATTTGTATGCTCTTAATCTCCGAATAAACGATTCAGTTTTCTAAACACAATCCTACAACTATCATTTAAGTTTTGGGGGAATTTATTATGGCCGTATCTAAAGCATATATGAGGAGTACTGTATGCGTAGACTTCATTAAAAATTGGTGTCTTTAAGGATCTGAAATATTTGTAAGAAAAACACATGTAATTCTAATTTATATTTTAAATATCGAACATTCACCATAAGTATTTTTGAACCGGCTTCGAGTCATTGGCGTTATCTGTAAATTAACGTAAATTAATTATATTACTTTTATGCAAATCGTGTATTACTAATCATTTGTTTATTTCATGGGTTTTTAGGCCGATCCTAAATATGTTTGGGTACGATCTTACAAAGATTTGAACAACTTAATGGACAAAACAAATTTCAACTTATATTCTCCGAATCATTAGCATTATGTGTAACTTAATGTAAATGAATTATCTAACGTCATATATATATATATATATGTTAGTTTATGCAGATCGTGTATTACTGATTTACTGATCACTTGCTTCTTTCATGGTTTTAGACCGATCTTAAAAATATTTGGATACGATCTTACAAAGACTTGAAAAACTTAATAGACAAGACACACAATAGGTAGCTCACTCGTATCCTCTGAGGTATACATCTTTAGGACAGTATTCTTGACGTTAAAATTATTCACGTTTTGACTTTCCTCATGTATAAGACTAGTCTAGTTAATGAGACAAATGAAATTTAGAATTATTCATTTTTAGGAAAAAATATAAGATTAGACTAGTGAACTCGTTATTTTCTCGAAAAAATCAACTATTATAAAACAGAGGGAGTAAAAGATTCAACAAATAATCGTCTTTATCAATGTGCGTTTTAAATAATTTGTCGGCCATCTAACACAAATAACGGCAAGATTGGCTGCAATACTCGACTATCCCATATACTTTCTACCCAACACTCGATCCGGTATACTAATTTGGAATATATAAATCCAAATTTTTAATTTGTTGCAACTTAGTAACAAACGTGGTGTGTGTAAAACATTATTTGCAGGATCGTTAGCGGGAATATTCATTTTTGTTTCTTCGATATGTAATTTGTTCGATTTAATTATTATTTGTAAAATGCTTTTAGATGGAAATAAGAGAGCCTGAAACATATTTGGAGTTTCCTCACCGTCAGATATCTGATGATAATATGGACCATTACAGTTGTATTTTGCTGTTATTTCTTCTATTGGGTATTACAAACAGAAGATAACAATTGTTAACCAACCCAAGACGCCTCTTTATTATAATTCAGCACCGACATTAATACACACATAAATAATCACAAGTACCATAAAAATGTTTATGCGGTGATTATTAAATACTAATGAGATTCATCACATAAATATTTGGTACTGCCATTACAGCCCAAACGAGATTTCTTAAACACAGTGCTTATTAGGCATGATTTAGGGGACCGTTCCGTTATCATCAGGCATAGGTAAGATAATCATATAGTTTTTTATTTTTCCAAAACACATTTCAAAAAGTACTATTTCAGATCATTAAGTTAAATTAAATATGTAGTACATCATTTCACTCAAGACAAAAAGGACGACACTTTTTAACTTTTTTTTAAAACGAACTGTACTCAAATGATTTTAATCCAGCCAAAAGTCATGATAATTCTGAAATTACCGAATCGCCACGTAATTTTCAATTAATCAAATAAAAACCATGAGACTTTTTAGATTTGGCTAGTCTGTCTTCTCCGCGTGGACGAGAGAGATATTACACAAACAAAAAGTTCAGCTGCATGTGAACTACGTAATGTCCGTCAATTTCTCTGTTTCGCCAATTTTTGGTATTAATAAAATTATCTACACGAATAATTGAATATAAGATATGCATTATCACTAAAAAACGTCATTAATCTATACAACTAACTTTTCTACCGTTGTAAGATTATTTCTATGAACACCCTTATTAAACTCAAATGTTTTCGTTATTAGGTTAAAAATCTATTATGCTATTCCATTATCCATAGATCAAAGTCCAAATTTCTTAATTAAGAATTCGGTTTGGTTCGGATTCAATTTCAGGTTTTTTTTGGGTGGATATCTAACAAGTAATCTTTTAAATCAACTTTATTTTGTGTTGCTCAAATTTAGATCGATTGGGATCAAAATCTCGAGTAAACTGTGTTTTAATTGCCAATAAACCGGTCTACAACAGATAAACCAATCCATCTAATTTAAATTAGGTAAGTGAACCGGATCCTCCATCTACATCCCCGTGATTAGTGGACCGTACATCGGCGCGTGGCATTCACTCTCCCTCCCACTATCTTCATCTTCCTCCTTCCCATTATAATCCCCAACCCCTCTCACTCTCTCTCTCTAGCGCCCCCAAAAAACCTCATTTCTACAACAATGGCGGAACAATCGCCACTCAAATCTCTCTCCCTCCTCCTCTTCTTCCTCACTCTACTCGCCTCCACCGCAGAATCTCGCCTATCCACCGATTTCTACTCAAAATCATGCCCTAGATTCCTCGACATAGTCCGCGACACAATCACAAACAAACAAATCACGAACCCAACCACCGCAGCCGCCGTAATCCGCCTCTTCTTCCACGACTGTTTCCCCAACGGCTGCGACGCCTCCGTCCTCGTCTCCTCCACCGCCTTCAACTCCGCCGAACGCGACTCCTCAATCAACCTCTCCCTCCCCGGCGACGGATTCGACGTCATCACCAGAGCCAAAACCGCTCTCGAGCTCGCTTGCCCAAACACCGTCTCTTGCTCCGACATCATCTCCGTCGCGACTCGCGACCTCCTCGTCACCGTCGGTGGTCCTTACTACTCCGTCTTCCTCGGCCGCCGCGACTCGCGAACCTCGAAATCGTCTCTCGTCGACGATCTCCTCCCTGTTCCGTCTTCTCCGATCTCGAAGCTCATTCACCAGTTCGAATCCAGAGGATTCTCCGTTCAGGAAATGGTCGCTCTCAGTGGGGCCCATTCCATTGGATTCTCGCATTGCAAAGAGTTTGCGGGTCGGGTCGCCCGTAATAACACCGGGTATAACCCGAGATTCGCGGACGCGTTGAGGAAAGCTTGTGCGAATTACCCGAAAGACCCGACGATATCTGTCTTCAACGATATCATGACTCCGAACAAATTCGACAATATGTATTTCCAGAATATCCCCAAAGGTCTCGGGGTACTCGAGTCGGATCACGGGTTATACTCCGACCCGAGAACCCGGCCTTTTGTTGATCTTTACGCTAGAGATCAAGATCGATTCTTTAAAGATTTCGCTAGAGCTATGCAGAAGCTGAGCCTTTACGGTGTACAGACTGGCCGACGGGGAGAGATACGGCGAAGGTGCGATGCGATTAACTGAGTTTTTGGTTTCTTATTTATTTATATTTTTTTGGGAGGAAAAATGTGAGATTTGAGATCGTGAATGGTCTGAGTAATTTGCTCATGTTTTAATGTAATGGAAAACACACATATAATAACCATTATGGTTTATCGTTTTACTTTGGTACAAAATGTATTAACTTTTGTGACGAGATTTGGATATGAAGTTCTGCATTTGAGTGTTAAGATGATAACACGGTTTTTTTTTTTTTTTGAAAGAATGTAAAATTCAAACAAAAAAGTTTTTACATCAAGTGCAGCTGTAACTGAATATGTTTTTGATCAAAAAACAAGCTATTCTAGAAAATTGTAGACAGAGAGTTTATTGAGATATGCAAGAGAAATGCTTTTAGCTTCGCGTCGAGAAGCAGAGTTCTAAGCCATCGTCGTAGGTGTGATCGCCCTGAGTTCGAATACCACTCAGCCTGTTTCGAACCGTCTTGTCAATGAGCTTGATAAGTCGAGCCTGATGGGAGGGGTTTCCTCCATGCCGTCTGTCATTCCTTTCTCGCCAAATGCCATACATGGTAGCTTGGAGTGTATAACGGAGGATGAACATAGAAATCCGATCCTGCGAGCTATCTTTCACAAGGCTAAGGACCTCATGCCAATTCGTGGTGTACCGATCTCGTAAGAGCCCTCGTATCAAGGTTTGCCAGATCTGTTCTGAGAATGGACAGCTGAAAAAGAGGTGATCAACTGTTTCAAGAGGATGATTGCAGAACACGCAACTTGGATTTGCGTTTGCATTCCATTTGATCATACGATCCCCTGTGGAGATACTGTTGTGCATTACCGTCCAGTGGAAGAGAGAATACTTAGGCGTAGCATATTTGAACCAGACCACTTCCTCCCAGCCCCATCGAATGTTGGTCTGTCGAATTTGCAGCCATGTATCTTTTGATCTAAACCTCTGTTTAAATTTTTCGTGACCACATTTCCAGAGTGCTACATCTTTCAGATCGTAGTTTGCACTGGCTCTGTATTTCTCTATTTCATCCTCGACCTGATTCAGAATCCCAACTCGATGTCGCCTGCGTCTATGGTGTTTGAGGACCATCTCCACTGTTGTATTCTCTCGGAAACCAAGATCTATATATCCCCTCTGACCCAGAATATCAACGAGACGTCCAAGAGATGACCAATGATCAAACCAGAACGATGTCGCCGAACCACTGCGAATGTCCATGCGATGGAAAAGTTTTGCCACTGGTCTTAACTTTAAGAGTTTCCTCCAGATCCAAGAGCCAGCTTGAGTCTTTTCCTTGAGAGACCAGAAAGAGTTCTTGCCAATCAGATTCTGGTGAGTCCACGTCACCCACATTGAGTCGTGAGCAGAAAGGATCCTCCATACAAGTTTTAAAGCCGAGATCTTATTGATTTCCTTGAGAGGACGTAGACCAAGTCCTCCCTCACTCAGCGGACGAGTAACCATATTCCAGGAGACTTTTGCTTTATGCGAAAGAAGAGATGGACCAGACCATATAAAGGCAGAGCACATCCCCTCGATTTCTTTAATCTAAAGGCCGCCAGCCAGAAGTTTGCTATGCTTGAAAGAACAGAACGAACCAATTGTAATCGACCAGCGTAAGAAAGGAATCGAACTGTCCAACTTTTGATTGTAGTTCGAATCTTTTCTATCAACGGAGCGTAGTCTGCAGACGTCATCTGCTTCGTAAGTAAAGGCAGCCCCAAGTACCTTACTGGAAGATGACCCGAGGCAAATGGAAAGTCCGCAAGAATCGAGTCTTGCTCGTCCTGTGCCAATCCTGCCATGAAAATGGTGGATTTCTCCACACTAATCTGCAGGCCTGAACCAAGAGCAAATTCATCAAACACACCTGTATGACCCCTTCAATGGATCTCTTTCTACCATCCGTGAATACCATAATATCATCCGCGAAGCACAAATGTGTTAAGGGGATATTTTTACATCTGGGATGGTAACCAAACTTCCGATCAGCCGCCGCAATATCCAATTTTTTTGATAAAGCATTCATGCAAATGACAAACAGATATGGAGATAGTGAACATCCCTGCCTCAACCCCCTTTCACTCCTAAAAAATCCAGCCAATTCACCATTAACCTGGAGATAGATAACACGGTTTTTTACCTAAAAAAAAAGATGATAACACGGTTTAGAATTGATTTCTGCTAAACCAATTAGTCATGAGTTTGTTGGATCATTAGTGGCAGTCTGATAATTAGTAGTGTCTCTTGAAAATGATCTCATTGATAATGGACTTGCCGCAAATGAAATGTGTTCCTGATCAAAAATTGAGTTCCGAGAGATTTGCAAATTTGGTGTTACATTTCAAATTCTTGTGACCTATCAAATCTTTGTGCATTTGGAAACATTGATATTTACGAATTCAAGAAGTTCATTTTTTTGTTATTTTAATTTATGAAAGATTTGTATGCGTTTTCAATATATTAAAGCAGAACAACTATCTCACTATCGGATAAGCAAATCTCATGTAAACCGCTCTATGGGTATATTCCGAGACATTTTTAGCTAACACTGCTTAAACATGATTTGTCTAGATGACTAGATAGTATGCTTTCCAGTTCCTATTCTCATGTTAGCTGACACCTAATGATGTATATATAAATTTAAATGGAAAATTGAAGTTGATAGATAGTCGATTTTGAAAATATAATTGACTACTAGTTACCTTACGAGTTACGACCCATAAGTCTTGCTTTACGAAAGAGTCACAAGTATCGTTTTTTTTTTCCTACAAAGTACCACATTCCATACCTTGAGGTAAGTGGCTTATCACTACATATTCGTTTCAACATGGAGATGTTTGGGAATTACTTCAACCACTTTTTTTTAAGGTATCGAATTGTCAATGATCTTATATGTTTCTAACTACTACATGTTGCAATATCTCATATAACGTGGTACAACAGCCATGAGTTGGAAAGAAAAGACCCTTTAGGAAAATGCAGCTTAATCCGTTGTAGCGCGTCAAATACTAAATATAATATTTCAGCTGAAAAATGTAGTTGAAGTGAAATGCAAGAAATGTTATCCTGTTGATATATAATATTTCATAGTTGAAAAATTAGATCAAACCAATTACATAATTATGTCGGAAAAATAACGAAATATATAAATACTTTCTTTACTATCTTACAAAAACAAAAGTTGATCCCTTTTTTTGGTCAACAAGATAACATTTTATTTGATCTAATTTTCTAAATATTAAATATTAATATCATCAAATTTATTTGACTAAATATAAGATAAGCTATTAACATTTTTTTTTTGTCGACAGATAAGCAGCTATTCACATAAAAAAGATAAATTAGGAAAAATGTAATATTAGTTTTTTTTTTTAAGGATTCAATAAAATAGGAACCAAAATGGGCCTAGAAACATCTAAACCGCGTCCTAAATCCAAAATAAGGAAATAAAAAAAACGAGAATAGTCGAGCAGAGGAAGAAACCAACTTGGATGCTGGCTTTGCCTCCAAGTCAGCCCCAACGTCTCTATATATAAAAATATTCATACGGTTTTCACAAACAAGAACATACCAAATCGAAGGAGAGGAAAATCAAGAAGAAGAAGATAAGCTATGGTAGGAGGAGGTACAGAAGCATTTCCTGATCTCGGAGAGCATTGTCAAAACCCTGATTGCAAACTCCTCGATTTTCTCCCCTTTACTTGTGATGGTTGCAAATTGGTAAACTTTTCCCGGAAAGTCTCAGTTTTTAATTCTTTTCCAGGATGAATCCCTCAATTGAATGCTTGCTTAATTGAAACCTATCTGTATCTGTGTGCAGGTGTTTTGTTTGGAGCATAGATCATACAAGTCTCACGATTGTACAAAATCCGATCACGGAAGCAGAACTGTTTCTATCTGTGAAACATGTTCTGTAGCGATTGAAACAACTGGTTTCGATGAAGAAGGAATCAAATCTATGCTAGAGAAACACGAGAGATCTGGAGATTGTGATCCTAGGAAGAAGAAGAAACCAACTTGTCCTGTAAAGCGCTGCAAAGAGATTCTGACTTTTGCGAACAACCTTACTTGCAAAGATTGTGGAGTTAAGTTCTGTCTGAAACACCGGTTTCCGACAGATCATGTCTGCAACAAGAAGGCCGTCGCTAACTCAGGAACAAGCTCGAGATGGAATGAGAAGTTTATGGAAGCTTTGAGCTTGAGAAACGAGAAAGGATGTGGAAGAAAAACTTCTGTTTCATCAAGTTCTCCATCTGTTAGATCATTTTAGTTTCCTCTCTCTTCCTTTCTTTGCAACAGTTTGCTTCAACCAAATCTTCTTTTTAAGTTTCTCATATATTCTCCATTGTTTTCATGAGCATTTCAAAATGTGTAGCATTGCTTAAAAGAAGGAAGAAGATAATTGGTTTTTATCAATATACCGATGTACATTACAAATTACAATATACACAAAGCGATTCTATCTCTCTCTCACATATTAGCTGTGGTTTCCTTTATTTCTTCTGATGTAATAGTCTGCAAGACACAAAGTCATCAAATGATTAATCTTGTGTTTCAGTATAACAAGATATGATTTGAGTTGTTTGTACCTGATCTTTGCCAGCGAAGTCGTTGTCAGGAGTTAAGAAAAGCATACAATGGCACTCCTTTCTGATGAACCAAAAGGGTCAAAATTTTAGTACAGAGGTGAAAAGATACACAAGCATTTTCCAAATTAGTCGGTTGCATATGCAAAGTTTATCTGTGTTTCTACCACCCCAAAAAGATATATTCCTCTAGCTAAACAACATAGCACAATTCCCTAACTAGTCACTATATATGAATTATTCAATCAACTTCTGTCCAAATACTAACGAGTATTGGTAACGCGTCTGAGCCTGCTAGATTCTCTACTAAAGCAATCACGAGGAGAACACAAGCTTAGTTTTCTTCCTCTATATAACAGAACATCTTGACTTATGGTAGAACCAGTTTATAGCTTATAGTTTAGAGTATATACCTCTCTCTCATTGGAACACAAGGGCAATTCCAAAACCCTTGTCCAACCTCAGCAGCTTTATCATCGTAGTGTCTGCAAAAAACGAAAAAAGGATCAGACTTTTTCTGTTACATACAAAGAGAATGCAAATGTTGTTTCAGAACATGTGAATTTCACCTGCAAGGGCAAAGTGGTGCTCCATATGAATCTTTATGCTCAGCCAATCCCTGTACAAACAACTCAGTTCCAGAAATTTCAATACTTCATATACATAAACTCAATTTCATCTACAAGATTCCACGAAATAATTTCTAATAATATTGGTCAACTATAAGAGTTTTATATATACCTTAATAACAACAGAGGTAACTCCTTTATCAACACAGAAGTAAGTTCCTGACCTACGAGCGTATTGCTCAGAGAACTTCCTCATGATCTCAATAGATTTCTCCGACGGTTCCGCTGCAAATGAGATGAAATATCCAAAATCAATTTTTGCTAAATTATGTGGTTCAAGAAGAATATGAAGAAGAAAGGAATAAAATTTACATTTCGCTCGGATAGTAAAGCTGCGTCGGAATGAGGCTTTGTAAGAGTGAAGTGAAACGCAAGAAGCGCAGCCGAAGCTACAAGAAACGGCTTGAAGATTCATCGAGTTTTGGTCAACAAGAAACGAAACCAAAACAATGGTTTTCTGAGGAATTTTTTCTCCCGGGATTTGCAATATACAACACAAAGACTTCTCCTTTTTTATCTTGAATTTGGTTTCAGGTCAAATTGCAGATTTTTTATGTTTTTTTCTTCTTCGTCCAGATATATTTGTGTTCACTCGTTAGCACACTTGAAAAATATGATGAAGCACCATAACCCCAGAAGCGAACGCTAGCCACTCGGTTCACCTTCATAAGAAACTCTAACTGAGATAGAGACTCTGACATATCGGTAGATTTGCAAACCGGAGGATCTTGGTTAAATTCAATTTTTAAAATTCCGGCCCAATTTTCTAATCTTATTGACGGTTAAAGTCTGGTTGGATGGTGATGTGGATTCCAGAGGTTTGTTACGTTTCCTAAGTTTTCATCGTAAATGAGAGACTTTGAAGGTGGAGGTCTAATTTCAAGATTTCTCTTAAAACCAAATACTTTCCGAGTTTGAAGCCTACCAAAGAAAATTCTTCATCAACATGAGATGAGTTTGCATATGGTACCAGTTTGATTAATATGAATTTTCAATGCAATATAGTAAACGGTAGCAGACATTACCTTGCGTTCTTCAATTTCACGACTACCACGCATCGATCTTTCTTATAATCCAGAAAAAAATCTGATCTTACCTTGCGTTCTCCTCTGTTTTCACTCTCTATTTGCTTTTTTTACTCTATTCAACTCTGCTATTTCTTTGTTTTAATGTTTTTATTCTGTTTCTAAGTTGTCTGATGTGATAATGTTGTGTTTGATTTACATGAACTCAAATTTTTTTTTTTTTCAATTTCCATTGTTATCTTATATGGATACATTTAAGAGTCTAGAGTGAATTTAATATTTTATGGGAAAAAAGAAAAACCGAACAAACAAAAATGAAAGGTACATAAAGCATAAAGCACCCCTTCGAAGCATTAGGTAAGTAATAATTATTTGGTAATTCCACAAAGGTCCAACAAAAGAAAATGCACACTGAACAAGAGACGTCTTGAACAAAATTAAGCACTTTAAAGAGCAATGGAAGACGTAAATCCTCAGTGTATTTTCAGTTTTATATACATAAAAGCAAAAAAACAAATATTTGTTACTAACAAAAAAATAGAATCCATGGAATTGAGTAGGAAAAAGAATTTATATGAATCAAAGAATTTCTAACTCTTGATTGTATTGAAGATACTGTCTCTGTGACTTATGAAGATCATAAGGAGCCCATAGATAATCAACTGGACAAGGCTTACCATCATCAAGCCTTACCCATGGCTTCCCTTTCCCACTCCAATGTATCAAACTCACCGGACCAGGATGCAACGATCTGCAACTACTTACGACGTTGTCTCCACCTAGACCGTGCTGGTTCCACTGGTGATCAATGGCTTCAATCTCGCCTGAAAACACCAGAAGAAAAGGCGGTAACGAACCCAACTCGTAAATCCTCTCTTCTTTCTGAATCTTCATCCAATTTTCGATCTTTCTCGTGTACTCGCCTTCTCTCCATCTCTCCAAATCGATCACCATCACTCCTGTGTTGAAGTAGCAAGGGGTTTTGGAATCGAAGACTGAGGAGAGTTTTTGATCTGACCAGAAACGATCTGAGAAGTATTTGGTGAAGTTTGCGTGGCAATACTCTGGTGCACCGATTGTTCTTGACCCGGATAAAGAAATCTTCCATAGTTTCTGTATATCGTCGACTACGATCACATCTGAGTCGAGATAGATCACTCGATGAACACACGACGAAAGAATCTCGGACAAGTAGCTTCTTGCGTAGTTCAAGGGGCTATCGAGAGCTTGTCTTATAGAAGAAGAGATTAGATCCTTCACGATGGTTTCATCAAAGGTGTAGACTTTGAAGCTCAGAGAAGGGAAAACAGAGGAGAGAGTCTTTGCGAGCAAAGCGTGGCTCGAACCCGAAGCAATGAAGTGGAAGAAGATGTTTTGAGGGCAAGAGGTGTGTTTGAGGATGGAGTGGACTGCAGAAACCGTGCCACGCAAGTAAGCTGGGTCAAGGGTCATAGCTATATGAACAGCTGAAGGATCACAAGCTAACAAGAGTCTGTTTTTGGCTAAAACAGAGCATTCGAGTCCGTTTTGGTATGCTGGAGCCTCCATGAAATCTGAAGATGCATCTTCGAGTGAAGATCTTTCATCTGGGAACAGTCGAATCGATCTGACGGTGAAGAAAGCTGTGGAGATTATTGCCAAGATTATTAGTCTAGAGATTAATCTAGAACCAGACATCATCAGAGAGAACGAATCGGTTTGAAGAGTGGCTAAGATCTCAAGCAGGACTCTTTTAAGGTTTAGATATTGAGTTTCTAGAATTTATGGGGAGAGAGATGGAGAGAAAGGGAGAGAGGTCGAGGAAGAAGACGAAGACGAAGACAAAAAATGAAACGCGGTTTTGTAGAGAAAAGAAACACGGTCAAATTACGCTTCGTTTGAAACTCGTTTCTTATTGTCACTGTCAATGTCTTTTTGTCGTAGATATTTCCTTTTTTTTCTATCTAGAACAATTAATTCTGATACGAAGCAAAAATACAAAGTATTAAGTTCGGGGTTTAATATTGAGAAACATTCAATTTGAACACGGCAGAAAAATGTAAAGTGTTCGTGAATATTGTTCTATCCTTCAATGGTTTTTTTTGTTCTATCCTTAATGTTTGCAACCATATACACTGGTGACATTTAAGAATCATAAAGATATATAAATTAATTTCATTATTAATTTACATATTCACACCATCTAGCTAAGACTATCGACATATTCACCACCTTTTAAAATCGTGAGTGTTCAAAATCTTTAACCTTAAATGTTGAGAGAGGGGATTAACGAACCCATCTGATTCAGTATTGACATAAGTTCTTATTAAATATCAAAGCTTAACCAATAATTAAGTAAATGAATACGCATGTAAATGTAGACATTACATGCATAGGCATCAAATGTTAAGGCATCAAATGTTACATATAAAAGAAAACCATGTTAGGTTGTAGGAATCCAGCAACTTAGAATATGGGTTGATAATGCTCCAATGAACACATGGGTCCATGTGCTTTACTACTTATTTCGAAATATATAAAACCTTACTCTTTTAATATAATTATTGCCTGACGCCCGAAAAACAATAATATATTTAAATGGTCAGCTCACATTCATTGGATACATATGCTCTTTGTATAGATTTTTTTTCTTTTTTTTCAAAAAAATTGGTTGTATTTTTTACTTATAGCATGTGAGTATACCTCGTTTAGATGGATTTCATTTGCAGGGTTTCATGTCCTTTTCTATGAGTAGAATTTGTTGTTTCCTTAAGTAGAGTTTTTATTATTACTTTTCTCTGATACTAACAATGATATACTTGTTGTAGCATCATGCCAAACAAATATTACAATTTTCTATGACTATACACATCTTATGTTATGATATAGTTGGAATTTTCAAATTTAACACATTATTTCTTTCTTTTTAGATCCTAAAAGTTAATTAATACATTGACTTGTCGTTTATGCGTGGCTAAGACCTTTTAAACACGGTATCAGAACAATTGTGGTTTGATAAGTCACGGTGAATGGTTACATCCGCGTCTCGCCGTGCACTTGAGTACTTGACTCACATTAATTAGAGTGTGTGGAACGCCAGTCACTCTCGCGTTTGTCGAATATTGACGCTGGAGGTAAGTCTCCGAAAGGCTCCATGTGAACTTCACACCCACGTATAGCAACATGAATCGCTGGTACTTGATAAAAGAGAAAATTTACCTCCTGCAATTGTGATAATATCCCAAATATTTGAACAGTTTCGAAAGGCAAAAATGTTTGATAAAGTGTATTTACGATGTGGTATATATATAAACTTAAAAGTACTATCATTTTAACTCGTTTTCAAACTTTTTTCTTGTTCTATTAAAAGTTCAAACGGTTTATATCAGAGCTAAAATGACATCTCTCTTCGTCAGTTCGTCTCCGAGTTTTTGCCATCTTTAGTATCAATTATTATTCCATATATTAGTATCTGGACACCATAGATTAAACTAAAATCTACCCTTTTAGAAACAACTTAACATATCGACTGATATCTTCATCATTTCAATACCAATTTGGAGACTCGATATTAACAAAAAAAAAAGGCATTTTTTGTAAAAATTTGGAATAGAAAATAGAGGACATTTTATAATAGAAAGTTGTTGCTCCACGATCTTGATACACTCAAATCTTTGCAATTATTTTGTGTTTACCGAAAAGCAACCATGACCCTTTCACTTGTTTTTATTATTGGTTTTATGTTAATCTTTTAGTTGGTCGAACTGGTTTAATGTTAATCATGCAACTGCTTTCTTACACTTTTTTTTTTTAGAATTAGAGTTCTTTTTTTTACAATTGTTCATTACAATTACAAATACGAAAAGAAAATAGTGTCATGTTTAAATACAGCTGTATGTGCGGCTGTGGGCTGGCAATATCATTATTCTTTGTCATGAGTGAGTATACATCGAATCATGTTCACCTAATTACAAAACTTCCTATTCTAGCAACTTCTAATTTAGAATAAACTCAATAAAAGGAAACTTTAAATTGGGACGTCTGCTACGAGTTGCTTTCAACAGTATCTTGATAAGAAAAACATATGGTTTGTATGTATTGTAATTTCGAATATACACTCATTAACTCGTAGTTAGTATCCTTTACCAACGTGGGATTAGACTAGTAGTTGAACAAAAATAAAGAAAACCTTTAAGGAACAAAACTAATTTTAATGTGTAAAAATTTGAAAAGAAAAATTAATTAAAAACTGATTTCTACTCTAAAAGATATATAGATCTATAGGTCCAAAACTTTCTAATTAACAAAAAAAAAGAAACGAAATAAATCGCAACTTATCAAATATATTACAATCATTAAATTCAATTATAAAATTCAATAAAAGGGAATGAAATTTAGTTTAGTAAATCAATTTGGTTCACTTTGAAGGCGGTTTAAGTAAACCGAAATATATATGGGAAGTAAAACCGAGAAAATATTATGAATCCAATTCGCACACTTAGCTTATAATTTTCCAGATTTCACACACGCGTGCACCAAAGCGTACTCTGCGACGACATTTAGGGTTTTACGAGTGACAGTAGAATTATTGAAATCTCAACTCCATGGCGGACGAAGATTACCAAGATGTCGACGATTTGGGGTACATTCTCGCTTTCTATCTCTTAGATGAGTCTATCTGTTTTTTTTTCTTCTTCTTGTTGACTAATCATGGTGAGCAACCGAGAGCGTTCTGTTTGATGTCATAAACTAAAGTTCTTAACAAGTAATACATGAACGAAGTTTGCTGAAACTCTGGTTCGGTTGGAACAATTTATAAACTTTAACTGATTTTCTAGAGAAAGAGCCAATTTTTTTTTTTTTTTTTTTTGGTCGACTATGCTACTGCAGCGTTTAATGGTGCAAAGAGTAATCTTTTTTTATCAATAAATCATCCACATTGTCCAATTTTGTTACTTGCAGAGCTAAATCATATAGTTTGATTGTCTATAAAATCATGCTAATTGTGATTTCATAACACATTTGTTTTTACTTAAACTCATGTTTTCCCATCTCTTGGAAATGGACATCACTTGAATGTCTAGAGGTGTAACATGAGAGTGAAACTGAAGTTGGTTTATGTTATGTTCAAATGCTCTTTCTTTTTCCGGGACTGTTTCTCTACATATTTTGCATCTACGTTTCAAAATGCTTAAGAAGCGCAATCGATTGTCCTGTAGGTACGAGGACGAGCCAACGGAGCGGGAGATTGAAGTAAGCGAGTATACCTTCTTTACAGTAAATGAACATGGATTTTGCAGACAACTTGCGATTTCTGATTAGTTGTTCTGATTAGGAAGGAGTAGAGGACGATGTTGAGATGAAGGAGAATGATGATATCACTGGTGAACCGATTGAAACGGAAGATAAGATAGAGCAGGAAGCAGTACAACGTCCACGTGAGACATCAAAGTTCATGACCAAGTATGAACGAGCTAGGATACTCGGCACTCGTGCTCTCCAGATTAGGTCTAGTTTCTGCCTCTCCTGACCATCATATCTAATTTTCATCTTACGAAAAGCAATCGTCAAACGTTGTTCTAATGTTCGGATTCTATTGCTTATTGTGTTGGTGTTGTTACTAGCATGAATGCTCCTGTGATGGTGGAGCTGGAGGGTGAGACTGACCCACTTGAGGTTGTTCACTCTTACTCTCACTTACTGTCTATTTCTTTCTCTGTTTTAAAGAGTTTTCGTTTGTTTCTGGATTATGAGCAACGCATGTTATATTTATGAAAGCTTAAGTTTCTATGAACTCTGGTTTGGTCAGATCGCAATGAAGGAGCTTCGACAGCGTAAGATACCTTTCACCATCAGGCGTTACTTACCTGACGGGAGGTGATTGTTTGTTTCATTTCCCATTGATATACTTCCTTTTTTCTTTTTTTTTTTTCTTTGTTATCAATTCACTTGTTTGATTCTGTTTTTTTTTTTTTGTGACCTCATAACCAGCTTTGAAGATTGGGGAGTCGATGAACTCATTGTGGAAGATTCATGGAAACGTCAAGTCGGTGGTGATTAATTGGAAAAAATTACGATCTGTAGCTTCTTCTCTTAATGTTATATGCAGGTTAATCAAACAAAGTGAAACATAGATTTGCTCTAGTGTTTGAATATATAATTTAACATAGATTTGCTCTAGTGTTTGAATATATTATTTTTGGTTACAAGTAAATATATTGGCGTTATGTAACATGGTCAATTTCATTAGAAACATGGGTCGTCTATCTTTGTTTGACCCTTTTTAGTCGTCTTTATTTAACAAGAAGTTCTTTGAAGACTAACCAATGAGAAGTAAACACCTGTGGGACCTTTTGCCAACAAGGATGAATGGGTCCCACGTTCAACGAGTTTTCCTTTGTCTAAAACAGCGATCGCGTCGCAGTTTTGAATCGTGCTCAGTCTATGCGCGATCACAACGCTCGTCCTCCCAACCATCACGCGCTCAAGCGCGTCTTGCACCACGCGCTCCGACTGGCTGTCCAAAGCGCTTGTCGCTTCGTCGAGGAGCAACACCGATGGGTTCTTCAACACAGCCCGAGCGATTGCGATTCTCTGTTTCTGACCACCGGATAACTGTATTCCTCTGTCTCCGCAGTACGTATCGTAGCCGTCCGATAACGATGTGATGAAATCGTGAGCGTTCGCTGCCCTCGCAGCCTCGATGATCTCTGATTCGTCGATTTTATCCGACGCTCTTCCGTATAGGATGTTCTCTCGGATCGTCCCGGCGAACAACGTCGGCTCTTGGCTAACCAAAGCTATGTGTTGACGAAGCGATCTCAGATTATACGATCTTAAATCGCGACCGTCGATTAACACAACACCTTTAACCGGATCGTAAAACCGTTCGATCAACCCGATTATCGTCGATTTACCCGACCCGCTTGGACCAACAATCGCAGTCGACTTCGCGGCGGCGATATCAATCGAGAAATCTTTGAATATCATCACATCCGGTCTAGTCGGGTACGAAAAGTCCACATCGAGAAATTCGACCCGACCCGTTATTCTCTCCGCCTCATATCCATCCGAATCCTCCGGGTCAATCGACGTGTACCGGTCCAGAACAGCGAAAACCGACCCGACCGCATCCGAACCTTTGGCTAAATCCGTGGTCATGCTTCCAGCATCGGCAATAACCCGACCGGTACTAACCAAGATCATAAACGTTTCGAACAAAGCTTTAGCCGTGATGTAACCATCACCGATTAATCTACCACCGTACCAGAAATCCAAAGCCCACGTGCACGACGTGAGGCTCTGCGACATGGCTAGACCGATGCCAGCGAACCACGACTGACGAATGCTCTCTCTCCTCGGGTTTTCTTGAGCCTTTTCGAGCATTTTCATGATACGTTCTTGTGATGAAAAGGCAGTGATGGTTCGAACGTTTGAAACGGCCTCTGCGGCTAGTTTGCTACTCTCGTCTTGAGCCTTGATCGCTTGTTTCAACATGTTCTTGAGCAGAACACGGCGAGTGTAGAAGCAAACAATAATCAGCGGTTGCACTGCGATCATCACAAGGGCTAACCTCCACGCGATGACCAAACCCATCGTGCAAGCTATGGTTACTGCCGATATGGTTTGTACCAGTAATGCCATTCGATCACCTACCAACGATCTCACCTATCATAAAACCAAAATATTAGAAAGAGTCTAAAGATCAAGAAACGTTAAAATATTGTTCTTAGTTTCAAGATTCATGTACTTACCACATTAGCATCTTTTGCGAGTCTAGAGCAAACGGCACCGCTCGAATTCTCATCTCGATCGAACCAACCGACTTCAAATGTTAGCACTTTAGAGAGCATCCGTTCTCGGATACGCTTAGTCAAATACTCTCCCATGTATGCGAAATTGTAGTGTTGGCTTATATTGATCAAGAAAGAAAGCACGGCTAAACCAACAAAAGATAATGCATAGAGCCTCGTTTTCTCCTTGATCTCCTCGTGGCTCGTTAAAAAATAAACCGATACCATTGACCCTAAAGAATATGCGTATGCTGGTTGTATGGCACCGAACAAGGCTGCGCTTATGCAACCGTACAAGGCCTGTTTCCATTCCGGTAAATTCATTGCCAACAGTCTCTTAAACGATGGTAAAGGCGGCTTCTTATCTTCAGAATGATTCTTCACAATGCTTGAACCTGTAACTGGGTTAGCAGAGCTTGACCGGCTAAGAGTCGAGACTCTTGAAGTACTTCTCAAATCTTTGTTATGATCCGAGATTGGACCCATTTGCACATTGACGCTCATATTCACGTCTGAGTCTTCTTTTTCAATCTGTTGTAAACGGACTAGTGAGGCATATTGACCATCAAAGTTTTCCATTAGCTCATCGTGTGATCCAGTCTCAACAACATGGCCGTTCTTGACTACAGAGATAACATCAGCGTTACGAATAGTAGAGAGACGGTGGGCGATAAGGATAGTTGTGCGACCAATCGAAGCATTTTCTAAGGCTTCTTGGACTACTCTTTCGGATTCAGAGTCTAATGCGCTTGTTGCCTCGTCTAGAAGGAGAATTGTTGGTGATTTGATTATTGCACGTGCGATTGCAATCCTCTGTTTCTGTCCTCCTGACATTTGCACTCCTCTCTCCCCAACCTATTTGTTTTCACAAAAACTAAATTAACCTCCAGACAAAACTACAATAAATATATATGTTTCAAGAATGGAATCTAACCTGAGTTTCATAGCCATTAGGTAACTGAGAAATGAAATTATGAGCATTAGAGGCCTTAGCAGCTTCCACAACATCATCCATAGATGCATCTTCTTTACCAAACAATATGTTCTCCTTTATGGATGTGGCAAAAAGTGCAGGCTCTTGGCTAACTAAACCCATTTGCGACCTCAACCACTTCACTTGCAGCTTATCAATGGATACACCGTCTATGAGAATCTCTCCTGCAACAGGGTTATAAAACCTTTGCAAAAGCGATATCACAGTTGATTTTCCCGACCCGCTTGCTCCCACCAAAGCCACGGTTTTCCCGGACGGAACTCTCAGACAAAAATCGTCAAAGACCAATGTCTCGGGTCTTGATGGATACAGAAACTTTACATGTTTGAACTCGACTTCTCCTCTAATTTTCTCCAATTTTTGTCCTTTCGGATTGTCTGAATCGATCTTGGGAACTCTGTTTATCACTTCCATGATTCGTTCCCCAACTGAAGCCGCCTCAAAGAAGTACTTGAGATTACACAAACCACCACCAAGTGATCTGAAACAATAACAAAGATTGGTTACGTAACAAACAAGTTATCTTACCATTTGGCTGATTCTAATTATTTTAATACGTAAAAAATGGATTCAAATAAAGCATAATTTTCCTTTTTACAAAAATATAGATTAAAATATAAGATTCTATAATATTTGTGTATGATTCTAATTTGAATTGTTGAAACCGTTTTGCATATCTCATTGTATCATGCAATCAGTAATTTTTTTATGCCCTGGTCACTTTCTAGTGATAAATACTTACACGCCACCGATGGCAACAGAGGCGGCTACAGCAAAGACAGTACCACCTTGAGCACCATGGTACATGACCATCCGGCTTCCATACCAAGACATGAACGCCCACATAACGAAAGTGATTCCATTGCTTCCAATGGTGATTCCTTTAGCTAGCCCTTGTCTAATCCCTAGCTTCACCGAGCCTTGAAGCGCGGTCGAAAACTTGGAGATCGTCTTCCTCTCCCCGGAAAACGCATAGACGGTTCGCACAGAAGAGATAGCCTGCTCGGCCACAAAACCAGCCTCATTGTACTCTTCGCGTATCTTCCTCGAAATGCTTATAAGGGCTCGGCCATACATAAGTCCCGGGATCACTAAGAGGACAACGAAGGGTAAGCCAACTATGGCGAGTCTCCATAACAAGATAAAGCCAACTATGTAGCTTCCAACGAACGTTGATGCGCTCATCAAAAAATTTGGTAACTGCACCAAAAATCGAAATCATAAGAAATCGGTTTAAACAGAAAAAGAAAATTGATTAGAATGAAAGATATAAAAAGGTGAGACCTTTTCGCTAAGCACGTCTTGGATGACGAAGCTGTCGCTAGAGACACTTGTGATAACATCAGAAGTACTTGTGACATGAAGATCAAAGTAACCCACATCTTGTCTTAAGACTGCTCTTAAGTACTTCTCTCTCATTCTTGCTGTTTGTCTCTCCCCTGTTCTTGTCCAACAATATCCTTCTGTTTTTTTTTTTAAAATAAAAATTTAAATATTAATTCCAGCCATAAATTTATTCGTTACTCTGTAATCGGGGTCAACTATAGAGAAAAGGTTAGGAAACATTATTAAAAAGGACTTACCAAGGAAACAGACAACCCAAGATCCACAAGCCACATAAAGCAAAGCTACAGCATTCTGTTGATTACCAAAAAAAAAAAAAAAACCATCGGTCCTCTTTCCTTATGGAAGACACTGACAACAAATTTAGAAGTGCATGTGTCATCGATTGACATCTAAAACGTTAGAAACGACTTGGATGAGTCAATCTGGTTATTATAGTTTGACCTACTGTATATCTCCTCTGCATAATAGTAATTTGTAGTATTGTTGATTTTTCTCAAAAAAAATGTCAACGGATTCTGGACAATAAAGCATCGAAACAAAACCACACAAAGAAGGAAACAAAAACTTGTGATCATTAGATCTAATTAGAAAACAGAGAAGAGAGAGAATTGAGAGGACCTTGGAAATGCTTTGCATGAAGGTTTCAGTGTTAAAAGGGGAACCACCAAGATTGTTCATGAGCTTGCTGGTGATGAGAAGAACAAGAGGAGTTGAGAAGCCATCACCGACGGCTCCGATCAACCCTAATCCCATCAGCACCCAATCTACACCGTCCGCGTGGATGAATATCGATCTTATGCTTCTCAAGCTCTTCATCGTCTTCTTCCCAGTCTCTTTCCCCTCTTCTTTACCCATCTCTTTTGTTCTAAAGAGAAAGAGAGACCAAAAACGACACCTTAATCTTAAGGATACGGCAGCAGTCTGTTCTCTTTTCGTGCAGTTTTAAAAGCGGAAATCCTTTATTTCCTTTTCTTGACTATTATAAATTATTTTATGGTTTTCTTTGTTTTGTGATGTTTTTGTTCTATGCTTCATTCACATTTTGTTGATCGAATGTGTTGTGTTAGTCGGCAGATATTTATAGAAACCGAGAGAGAGAAAGAGAGAGGCCAACTGGCTTCTCGGAACTTCGGCTGTCTAATTTATATAGAACTTAAAATATATTAGACTATGTTTTGGTCTATATCAAATAGTATTATACTACTAACATTTAGTGAATTTTGTTAGTACGTACTATTGATGTATCATTATCGATTCAAAACAAGATACATCACTTGTCAGAGATCAAACAATATTATCCTCTAAATTTGTAACAGGATCCAAACACAAGACAATCTAATTTCTCGTCTCCTAAATTTTTACCATTTTGGGAATTTAAGCACCAAAAAAAATTATGTATATTCTTAGTTTTTTAGATGATGGTATAATTCGGCACCAAAGAAAATTATTACGAGAATCTCACAAAGAGAAATAGGAGGAGAGAACGAGATTGTAAGAAGAATGAACATGTGATTACAAAGGCCTTTTTTTATCATTGTAAGGATATTTCCGAAGTCATCCAATATTACTCTGTGAGTATACTTTCTTCTTATATAGTTTTGAAATTGGTGGGTATATTCATGGACTCTTACCGCTGTGATATAATCTCTTACCAGTTTCCACATTAAGAAGATACATTGCTATTTTAATTTCTTTAATTCATTTTTATGCTATTTTAATTTCGTTGATTCATTTATGTATTAATTATAGTTTAACAGTTTTGTGTTTTTTTTGTGTATGTGTGGAAATCCATCTCATTTAAATTTTAGAGCTACTAATAAATTGAATCAACAACAAAAGACAATTTAGATATTTTACAAATTGATTTTGCTTAAAAATATAAATTTGTAAATATCGCTTATACTGATGAAGGCGGTATAATTCTAGTAATCAATGATATCTAGTATGCACATGCATGGAATTGAATTCGTTTTCTTGCGACATTAAAACCTGCGAGCAATTCCCCATGCGTGTCATGTGCGTGTCTAGCAGCCTTGCATGCAGGCACAACTCTGTATATTTATTTATTACTACTACTACTACTTTTATTTTTGAATTTTGACATCATTTATTTATTTATTGTAGTATAATACAACAAAGTACTGTAAAGGGTTTGCTCCGTATTCCGAGGTACGGTTATAATTGGATAATAGTATGATACTAGTATTTAATAAAGTGTGGTTCTTGCTACTTCCGGTATATGATAAGTTATCATATCGAGTAAAGGAAAGTTATTATTGATAACTATAGTCAAGAAAAGGAAAATTTAGGTATGTGCGCGAATTTGTGTCATGGAAATATTTTTTACACAAGCTGGACAGGAGTATAGTTTATGTAATACGTAAGCTTTGTCCGAGATCTACCTCTCGTTTCGAAATTACAATTCATAATTAAAAATGAAAGGAAAGCGCGATTAAAAGCGCGATTCCAAGAAGAAGAAAAAATGAAATTTTTTTAAAAGCATTTGGAAGTGTGAATTTCGTTTTATTTGCTTACTAAGCCGATCAAATCGGAAGATTCGATTGTATTTGATAATTTTTGCATCCTAAGCTTTTTTACTCTTTGTAATCTCTTTACAAAATTAAGCTATATGATTTAGTGCCATGGCTTGTAACAGTAAGTTAGTGAATAAAAAAGGATTCGGTTAAAAAAGTGTGAATTTCGTTTTAATTTTTCTTTATAATTTTTTGCAATTCTAATTTTAATGTACATTATTATCTACTCAAACTAGTTTATGAAATATATGGAGAGTTCAATTTTCTAGTTACTTAAGATTTTCACAGTAGAAAATTTCGAATCTTAGTCTCTCAAAATTATCTAACTCTGGAAGAGTTGGCTTACTCGATGATTAATTTGTAAAGCATGTAAGCCTACTTTAAAAAAAATTCACTGTCTGCTCTGATTTTAATTTGTTTTGAATGATGCTGATCTATATATTTTCAGGTATAAAATCCATCCCAGGACCGATACGTCTAGGTCTCTACGTCCTTGCAAAATTTTGATGTCAAAGCAATATATATTTTGTTATGCGATTATGAAACTGTTTTTAATTTGTCATTGCGCCTTAAACATTATAATACTGGTAAGAGAGGTTGCTATAGAGAAAAGCGGACACGAGTACAATCTCTAATACTGGTAAAGTGGTGAGGGTGTTGTGTCTGGTTGCTGGAAATCACTGGCATGAATTCGTGTATTATGTCAAACGTTTAGTAAAAAAATTGCTATGGTTCTTATAGTCTTTGACCAAAAAGTTATGGTTCTTATTATATTGATTTATAGATATTTGATCGTATATATAATTTGCTTCTATTAAGTACGTTGGGAGATGCTTTTCGAATATTGGACTGCACCTCTGAATAATTTATTCCTCCATCAAAATTTGAAGTATACCTATATAATGTTATCATCAAATACTTGATATGCAATCCCGCGTGTGGTATTGTAGGAGTTGACAAACTTTAGATTACAAGGCATAAATTCATAGAGATTTCAAATTCGATTTTTCTGTCCAACAACCGAATTGTACGTGGACCACTTCGTATGATGAACCAGTATGGCAATTGTACTTGTCCATCCCAAAATAATCGTATTAATTCGGATCATCAATGTAAGTAAAAAAAATGATTAATCTATTTCTGAATTAACACGTATAATTTAATACATTAAACACACATTATGTTGGCATATTATATTGTCCCCGTAGGTGATCTCTAGGGTTTGTACGTATGTGGTGACGTTTTTTTTTCCTCGCTTAAATTATGTAAACGTTGACTTGTAAATTAGTTTTATATTGGAATGCTTATACTAACTTTTTGTTAACATTACCCTTTGTTACTATATATCCCAATGATTATCACTAGCTTTTTTTTTTAACTTTGAAAACAGAAGCTGCAGGTTATTAATTACAAGATCGGTGTAAACTACGGTTAAGATTTTCTACACAGAAGCAGATTATTGAATAACTTTGAACTTTTCTTCATTTTTGTATGTTTGACACACTTTTTTCTGTGTTTAATTATTATTTGGGTTTTAATATTATTTATTATAATTCTTATGTATCAATCCGTTTTTAGTGTAAAACAATTAACTGATACAACATAGAAGAACGCTAAATCATATAAAACTAGTGGAGGTATGCTAAAAATATCATGACACATATTTTTTATAAAGTTAATTAGTATTCAATAGGTTTGAACGTTCTCTTCAAACACACATAAAAAAAACATATGAACGAAAGACATTGTTACAGTTTCTTCGAATGATTTATTCTTTATTTTCTTAAACACTACTAAGTACAATGCATAAATTTTCAGTCCGATATGCACCATTCCCATGCGTTATATTGAGTGAACAAAGAAAGATAGAGGGATATATGTGGAACCCACTAGTTCAATTAGAGGTTGTAGTTAGTGACGACATTATAACAATCACATGAAATCACACTATCTATTTCCTGATCTCTAAATAGCTAGCTATTTAGTACTGGCTTGTTTCAGTTATGTGCATAGTATTGACCTAGTCTCCTAGATACAACACTATAAATACATATAAACAAACGGTAAAGATAAATTTATAATAAATAAATATATTGTCTTAATTCATTTAGAGTCTCTCTTAACTTCTAAATACCCATATAGCGAACGGTTGTTACAACAAAATGCTCAAAGGCCGGCCAAATGCTCAATAGTCTTCATAGAGAAGTTTCGGTTAGGTATTAAAGATACAAAATCACTACTTTAATTTGATTATAGATCCCAACACACACATATATATATATATGTATATATATATATATACAAAAGAACAATATTATATTATATACATACACTAATTGACCATTTGGTTTGTACCCCCCTCCCCAAAATTATAGTATTCTACCATTAGCACGTTTAGGGATCCGTAGTCTTCCTCCTAGGATTCGATCATAATAATAAATGAAGTGGGAAAAAAATCAAAGTTTCATGAAATTCAACAAAGTGTAATGATTTGTATATTGTGTACAACATTGAGTGGCACACCAAGAATAAAACCGGTGGGGGACACAATGTTTTTTCAGTTCACGTTCTTTATGTTTCACTTAAAGCGATAAAAGAAAATGTCACTGATTGTTACATTAGAAAATGCTAAACGCTCTCAACGGCAATCCAAGCGTTTAAAATGTCTACGAGACTCTAAAATGGGTATCTTTAAAGGAAAAAAAGCAGTTTTCTAAAACGTAGAATAAGCCAAACGCTCAAAGTTTTAGTAATTTATCAGTTAAACATTTAAAATATGTGTATAATATACCGTTTAAAATATGTGTATATTTCTAACGTTAAAATCATTAAATTGCAAATTACTAAATCTTTGAGCGTATGGCTTATGCTATGTTTTAGAAAACTACTTTTTTCCTTTAAAGATTCCAAGTTGGCCACCCAAGAAGATAGTAAAAGCGACTTAGAGTGAACAAACCAACCAAGAAAGATACATTATGATAGTGACATATATATTTACAATCAGTGTTCATCTCTACTGTATAACCCACCAGTGGCGGAGCCAGAATTGTTTTTAACTGGAGACATATAAAAATATATATAATTTAATAAATGGAGGCATTAATATTAAACACTACTAAATTACATCAATTTTTGAAAATTAGTTGGGGGCGAATGACCCCATGCTAATGCATGTGGCTCCGCCACTGTAACCCACGCTTTCCACTGCCAAGTGCGACTTCTATTATAGACATTTATGGTTCGAGTTTAATAATTAATCAAAAGACAAATACAACTTTACTTCGTTATCGATGAACCCAAATAATTTTCACATCTTCAAACTTCGCAATCCAATGCCGAACTTGTCTTTCCCAGCTTTGAATCCCAAAACCCACTTATGTCCTTCAAATTCCACTCTTGTAAATCTTTTTTTTTTGTTTTTTTTTGGTAAAAAGGGTTCCGCTCTTGTAAATCTTTTGCTCACTGCTATTAATAAAGCTTGAAACTGTGCTTCCACAGCCGTTCTAGCAAAATGCTTCCTTTAGAAGACCATCGAAGCATTAACAGAAGTTTTAATCATCATGTCAGTGACTTGCTTGATCGATACAACTTGTGGGGACTTAATTTGAGAATCCAACCATTTTCTAGAGTCATCAAGTGCAGATTGCATAACTTTATTCCATTGATTGTATTTCCGTGAAAGAAAGAAAAAGCCAATAAACCTGTGCTTATATGCCATAGTATCCGCAGAGCCAATCGCAACCGCATTTAATTTACTAAATTAATGCTACTATATTATGATTCTTCTTTTTTTTTTTCATTTTTAAGTTTTTCACGTTTGAACAAAGAGAAGATACACTGTATCTTACAACTATGTGAAAACATTTATATAAAATTATATATACATTCTATATGTGTAACTACAAATACAATTACATCTTACACGTTTTCTTTTGATATTAAACGGCATTTCAGTTACATTATACGATATCGTTTAAGAGCAAAAAATAAAAGATAAATGAAAGTGGAAGTTGAGAGAGAGTGTTAGTGGGTGTTTATAATATATATATATATATATATATGTCATATCATATCTTAAATGTACGAAAACCAAAATCCACTTTACTAGAACTCTATACATTCACTAACAAGCTCAAGAAAAAAAAATCCGCCAAATCATAAGAGTTGCAGGTTTCCATAAGTGGCAAAAGGCTCATCAGCCATCAGCCATCAGTTATCACTAATTGCTTTTCAACTTGGCCTACGAGTGGTGATTTTCACTCCTTCACAACCACTAAACCTCACATCATCTCTCAACGTGTACATCCATAGACTATCATTATAGTGCTTACATTTTCATTCTTATAACATTTTGAGTGAAAGGTTAAATACATCAAGATTAATGGCTCACATCCATATATTTTCAAATTAGTGTTTCTAAATTAATGATAACACTCATATCGGATGACACACTTGCCTAGATATATTTTTGTTGTGATTCTTGCATAAATCTCCAGCCAAAGCTGAAGCGTAACTCTCAAGTAACCACGATATAAATTCTCGTCCCTGATGAGACAATCAATCGAACTGTTTGAGAACAAGACCATAGATGAAATAATAATTAACTGTCCAACTAATTAATAAAAGATATTAATCACTTCAAGGTGTAATCCATTATAGTTTACAATATAGTCAGTTTCGCAATAAACAATTACCATCGATAAAATTTAACATTTAGATATGGTGGATTCAACGTGATGTATCAAATCTTTATGCTACTTTTTTTGTTTTAATTTTTTAAGGTATCAAATCTATAGGTTCTGCTCTTTTGTGAATCCTAAACCATCTTCATTTTCTATGAGATTTACATTTTGAAAGAAAAAAAAAACGTCGCTCCTATGTGGATCTCCTCCAAAAACATTTTGGTGAAGGAATATTATGGTAGATTTTTCTTTTTGTTGTTAAAGAACGGAATATGGTAGAAAGTGAAACATATACCTTATAACAGTTTTGATGGAGGTTTTTTTTTATTTTGCATTTCATTACAGTTTCTTTTTTTTTAGTTTTCTTTCATCCCACATCAGGTTTAGATTTATTTATGAAATAACATTTAAGCAGAAATCGTTACGATTAAACGTTTAGCAAAAAAAAAACAATTGTTTCGATTGCGCGAAAGTTAATGACCAACGGAGAAGTGCATGCAACACGTGTCAGGTTCGTATATAAAATTTGGGCATGTCCATATAACACGTGTCAGCTTCGTATATAAAAGAATTAAAAATTGAGTACAGCTTTATAGTTCCATACCATAATAAATATACACAAGATATTTAGGCTTAGTATTTTGGGCTCAGTAAAAATGGGCCGACATTGCTAATAATTCAGCCTCGCACAGACGCAAACGTCTCCATTTTTCAGAACGAAAGAAAACTGAGATATTTTTCAGTGAAGCTAAACAAACAAAGAAACCATGGCGGGAATCGATACGCAGAAGCAGCTTCTCTCTCTGATCCGCGACTTCACCTCTGAGAAATCTCGAGGAGGTAAGATCTTCGTTCCTAGTTGTAAGCTTTGTTACTAAATTTCTGGAAAAGGTCTCGAGATTTCGCAAAGTTGACATTAGTGAAGAATCGGAAGGCGTCTAGCAGAAATTTGAAAACATTATAAGTAGATCTGCATTTCGTGTGAAGTTTAGGGTTTAAGCGTTAATTTTATGCGATTCGATCTTCGTTGTCTCCGTAATTTGAGAAATATGGTTCTGAATGTTGGTGATTCTCTCCTCAAGAGCAAAGAGTGGTTGGATTGAAGAAGAGGATCGAGACTCTACAATCGGAAGTAGAAGCAGCGAATGCAGAAGTTGAACATGCCAAGCGTATCAAAGAAGTGGCAGAGGAGGAGCTCAACGGCTACGAAGTTGAATTGTCTTTGAACGATGCTACGATTCAATCTCTGGAGGTTTCTATTTTCCTTATTTCAAGTTGTTTATCGGATGATTTAGAGCGTTTAGTGCTTGATCAGATCGATTACCGTGTACAGAATGCGTGATCTAGCTGTGTTTCTTATCGTGAGTGTTTTGATAAGGCTTTGCTTGGAAACTATGCTTATTTCAGGCAAGGATTGCTCTTCTTCAGGATGAAATTTCCACTGTTGGCAATGAAGTGGATACTCTCAAGGTTTTTCTTACTCACAGTTTGCATAAGGTTTAGTGCTTATGGCTGATTTTTTTCTCTGTTTGAAATTCTGGAATTTTTGTGGATGATTTGATGTGGGTGGGGAAACAAAGAACAAGGAAGGATTACTCAGGTGTTCTCATATTTCTAACATCTTAACTAGTTCTACTTCTTGACATGAACTTAGTCTGTGTTTAGTAAATTTCTTATTCTTTTTGTTATACAGAGAGCAGTTTATAAGTGAAATGGCTGAACTGAACAAGGAAATAAGGTTATTATCCATTCTATGCCTTTTTATTTTGTTTTGCTGCAACAGATCTAAGTTACGTGCTTGGTAATAGGGTGTTCCAGAGAACAGTAACTTCCAGTTTGGGCATTGATGATAGTACTGGCATAACAGCAAGTGAGTAGCCAATATTTGCAGTTTACTCGTCTTGTCTGGTTTCTCACTATTTAGTAAGAGACAATGGCTTGTGAATATGTTTTGTAACAACAGATATCAAAGTTTTTGAGGGTGGTTATGGAGCTGATTCAGAAAATATCAAGGATATGCTCTCTGATGTAAATTCTCAATTAGCAAAAGAGGAAGAAGGATACCTGGCAGAGCAGATCATAAAAGAACAGGTAATGGACCAGGGGTTTAGTCTTGTATCAGTTGTATACTTGAAAGTTACTTCGCTGGTCCAAATACCATTTGCGAGCTTATCCATTCCTGTTTTAGTGTTTTTTTAATCATTCTATGAGGAGAACGTTTTGGGGTTGATATTTCGGATTTTTGTTTTCTGTAGCTGCAGAAGGAGCTTGATGAGTATGAGAAGAAAAGGTCACTCATGGAGGCCATAACGGACAAAACAAGTTCAGTGCAAGTTCTCGCTAGATATCCTTATTTTCGTTAGCAAGTGTAGCATGGTTTATAAACTTATAACTGAGGTTGTAACAACCATTTATCTCATTTACACCAACTAGTTCTGTTCTTTCTGTGACAGCCTGCACTCTGCAGCAGAAATTCTTTTGCTAGAATTTAAGAGCAAGCAAGTGCTTGTACTTTTATTCTCATTTACCATTCTTTCAAAACATTAGTTTCCTTGATGCACAACAAGCAGACTTCTGAGTTGGAACAGACATTGGCTTCACTCGGGGAGGAGCTGCAGAAGAGATGCCGATGTCAACATTGCCAGGCAGAAAATTTGGAAGTCTTGAGCTTACTTCTCCAAGGAGATCAAGTATGTTGACTCTTACAAACTATTTTTCTCATTTCCAAACAATTTTCCAAAATTCCATTAAGATACTGTAACCAAAAACTTTTATAATCCTATGTTATGGTTACAAGCTTATGTGGGAGGTTGACATACGGTCTGTGACGTGTTCAGATATTCTCCATTTTTTTCTAGTTTTCTTAAAATCAAGTTGCTAATCTGTTAGTCTAACTATACAACAGAAACCAATAAACCTTTAACCAGAATCTCAAAGGTAATAAAAATAGAAGGCATCACACGTATAGGACTTACCTGATTTCTTTTAGACAGGTTGAAGCAGGCATTCTCTAGTTAAGACTTTTGTAGTCTATTGAGCATCCAATTTTATCGATGATACTTAGTAAACCGTATAGTCAGGAAAAGACATCAGATATAGGTTCTGCCTCTTTTTAGTTGGAATTCTTATCCGGAAAGTATATAGACATGTGTAACTTGTTTGGCTAGCTACGATTTCAAGATGCATAATCTGTATAGGGAGTAACATTTTCAAAAGTTTAGCACTTCGACTTTTACATTTTTATAGTATGTGAAGAGAGTTGTTATGATCAGAAAACCGGCTCTCACTTAGCTGTGGGGCTTTAGTATCTGTCCTCATGAATAGATTATATAATGTCATATTTCTCGTGACAGTGAGTAATATATGTAGACTGAGCTTGGAATTTCTTATATATAATCCTGTATTTTTTCTGCAAGCTTTCATGTTTACAATTTCGTTATGTTTTGGCAGAATATGGTGGTGTCTTAGTTAAAGCCAATCTTACTTTTGGATTGCTCGAGGGAAGATCGATTAACTCGGGTTCCAAAATGGTAAGACATTTACTTTCACCTCTAGGATATAAGAAACCACTTCTCTAGAAATTTTACTAAATGTGCATGTTGAAGGAAACATTAGTCAAGTGTCTTAAACAATGAGCACATATTCGGTTTTAAAGGCACAATCAATCTCTTGAAATCTGTGAAACCGAAGCACAGGTTTCTTTACGTTAACAGTTCCAAAGCCAATAACAACTCTATTGTCTCGTAACTGAGAACGTACACATTAGCCAGATTCTTGAGATACCACTCATATAAAGCCAATGCAAGACTTGCAGATGATTGAGAATTTCCTCCTACACTAAAAAGAAAAAAAGGGAATATCGATCTTATGATTTCCCTTCTCATCTTCTTTTACTGTTTCATAGAAAAACTCAAAACAAAAGAAACGACAACCCTCGATGAAATACAACTTCCATTCGTTGCATTAGCATTAAACCAATAAAAGTTCAACTGCCAAATGCGTTAACTCACAGGAACTAAAAATAGCCAATTACATCACTGTTTCAGTCAGGTATGACACAGAACAATAACATCTCCGTTTTAATTTACGTCCATTTCCCCTCTGAGTATGCCGGGATTTATGTGTATGTGTATACACATACAAAGTTACTAACTCTTTTTTTGAAAAATCTAAAAAGAATACATGTGTAGATGGATAACGTCCAGCTTACTTCATGTTTAGACAGAGAGAGCGAGAAGTATGAGAAAGAGATGTACTGATAAATTTGATCTTCATCAACATAGATTTCTTTGGAGACTGACCAATGAGAAATAAGCACCCGTGGGACCTTTTGCAAACAAGGACGAGTGGTTCCCACATTCGATCACTTTCCCTTTGTCCAAAACGGCTATAGCGTCGCAGGTTTGTATCGTACTTAGCCTATGTGCGATCACGACGCTCGTCCTCCCGACCATCACGCGCTCGAGCGCGTCCTGCACCACACGCTCTGATTGGCTGTCCAAAGCACTTGTTGCTTCATCTAGAAGCAACACTGATGGGTTCTTCAACACAGCCCGAGCGATCGCGATCCTCTGTTTTTGACCACCGGACAATTGTACTCCTCGGTCTCCACAGTTTGTGTCATAACCATCAGATAGTGATATGATGAAATCGTGAGCGTTAGCTACCTTAGCTGCCTCGATGATCTCCGACTCGCCGATCTTGTCTGATGCTCCTCCGTACAAGATATTCTCTCGAATTGTTCCGGAGAACAATGCTGGCTCTTGGCTAACTAGAGCTATATGTTGACGAAGAGCTCTCAAATGGTATGACTTAATATCGCGGCCATCGATTCTCACAGTACCCTTTAACGGGTCATAGAACCGCTCTATCAAGCCTATTATTGTGGACTTACCTGACCCACTTGGACCAACGATGGCCGTTGACTTCCCCTCGTTAATCTCAATGGAGAAGTCCTTGAATATAATCACATCTTGTCGTGTTGGATAAGCAAACTCCACATTGTGGAAACTGATTTGGCCCTTTATCTTTTCAGGGAGATAACCATTTGGGTTTTCCGGCTCAATGGTTGTGCAACGGTCTAACACTGCGAACACTGACCCAACCGCATCTGAGCCCTTGGCTAGATCCGTCGTCATGGTCCCAGCATCAGCAATAACCCGACCCGTGCTCACAAAGATGGTAAACATCTCAAAGAATGCTTTTGATAAGATCTTGCCACTAGCGATTAGTTTACCACCGTACCAGAAACTCAAAGCCGAAGTGCATGTTATGAGGCTCCGGGTAGTCCCTAGAACAATCCCTGCTAGCCATGATTGGCGTACGTTTTCTCTACGTGGACCTTCTTGAACCCTTTTGAGTAGTTTCAAGATCCGTTCTTGTGATGAGAAAGATGTGATGGTTCGGATGTTGGAGACGGCTTCTGCTGCTAGTTTGCTGCTCTCATCTTGGGCTTCGATTGCCTTTTTGGATATGCTTTTGAGCAGAATGCGTTGTGCATAGAAGCACACAACGACAAGTGGTTGCACAGCAATCATCACAATGGCTAATTGCCAAGCAATGGCTAAACCAAGTGTGCAAGCTGTGGCCACTGCCGATATGGTTTGTACCAACAGTGACACTCGTTCACCAACCAGTGATCTTACCTATCATATCAAAACATTATAAGATAAAGAATTGGTAAACAAGAATATTGTTTAATGAAATTTAAATTAGTACAGAGGAAGACATACCAAGTTAGCTTCTTTTGCTAGTCTAGAACAAATCGCACCGCTTGAGTTCTCGTCTTCATCAAACCAACTGACTTCAAAGGTCAATATCTTCGAGAGCATCTTTTCTCGGATACGTTTTGTTAGGTATTCACCCATGTAAGCAAAACTGTAGTGTTGAATAATATTGATGAAGAAAGTGAATAGAGCTAGACCAACAAAACACAGCACGTAGACCTTTGTTTTCTCCCTGATCTCGTCATGGCTCGTTAGGAAATACACTGACACCATTGATCCTGAAGCATATGAATAAAGTGGTTGTATGGCCCCATATGAGGCTGCACTTAAGCAACCATACAATGCATGTTTCCACTCTGGTTTATTCATCGCCATTAATCTCTTAAACGATGGCACAGGTGGCTTCTTATCCTTAGGTATCGAACCAGGAAGATTGGTATTAATGCTTGGTGCCTTAGACCGGCTTTGAGTAGAAAGTGTTGGACTATACTTCAAATCATTACTCAAAATCGAGAGTTTATGCCCTTGCACAGTTACGTTGATGTTGACATCTGACTCTTTCTTCTCCATCTGTTGTAAGCGGACTAGAGAAGTATATTGACCGTCCAAATTCTCCATGAGCTCTTCGTGTGATCCAGTCTCTACAATGTGACCATTATGGACCACACAGATAATATCAGCGTTACGAATAGTGGAGAGTCGATGTGCAATAACAATAGTTGTACGGCCAACAGAGGCATTGTCTAAGGCTTCTTGGACTACCATTTCTGATTCTGAGTCCAATGCGCTTGTTGCCTCGTCCAAAAGGAGAATTTTTGGTGATTTGATTATTGCACGTGCGATTGCGATCCTCTGCTTCTGACCTCCTGACATTTGCACTCCTTTTTCTCCAACCTGAGTTTTGTAACCATCAGGAAACTGAGAAATGAAATTATGAGCATTTGAGGCCTTTGCAGCTTCCTCTACTTCATCCATGGACGCGTTCTCTTTACCAAATATTATGTTTTCCTCTATCGATGTGGCAAAGAGCGCTGGCTCTTGGCTAACTAGACCCATCTGAGACCTCAACCACTTCACTTGCAGCTTATCAATGGATACATCATCAATGAGAATGTCTCCACCCATTGGGTCATAGAACCTCTGCAAGAGGGATATCACGGTTGATTTTCCTGATCCGCTTTCACCAACCAGAGCCACAGTTTTCCCGTATGGAATTCTCAAACATAAATCATTAAAGATTGGAGTCTCAGGTCTAGACGGGTACACAAACTTCACGTGCTTAAACTGGATTTCTCCTTTCATTTTCTCTAAAATCTGACCTTTCAAGTTGTCTGAATCAATATCAGGAACTCTTTTTATCACTTTGGATATCCTCTCCCCTGCTACAATCCCCTCCGAGAAGTATTTGAAATTGGACAAACCTCGGCCGAGTGTTCTGAAAAATGTAAGATACCTAATATAAAGACTACCATATGGTTTGCTTTTGTGTCAAGAAAACTAGAGTGTGGTTTGCTTTTGCGTCAAGAAAGCTAGAACATGTATATTTATACTTACGTGCCACCATAGGTGATGCATGCGATGACTGCAAAGATAGTACCGCCTTTTGCGCCATGGTACATAACCATCCGACTTCCATACCAAGTCATGAACCCCCAAATGGCAAAAGTAATACCATTACTCCCAATGGCGATTCCTTTAGCTAGTCCTTGTTTCAGCCCTAGTTTCACCGAGCCTTGAAGTGCAGCTGAGAATTTCGATATTAATTTCCTCTCATTACCAAACGCATAGACAGTTCGCACCAGCGAGATGGCTTGCTCGGCAATAGAACCAGCCTCATTGTACTCTTCGCGTATCTTCCTTGAGATGCTGATGAGGGCTCGTCCGTACATAAGTCCAGGGATCAAGAGGAGGATTATGAAAGGAAAGCCTACGATTGTGAATCTCCACAGCATGGTGAAACCCGCGATGTAGCTTGCAACGAAGGCAGATACATTCATCACAAAGTTTGGTAACTGTTCGAAATCAAAATCATCAGAAACCAGTTTAAAAAGCAAGAAACATGATTAGAAAATAATAATAGAAAGGTGAGACCTTTTCACTGAGGACGTCTTGGATCACGAGGCTGTCACTAGAGACACTAGTGACAACATCAGAAGTACTTGTGACATGAAGATCAAAGTAACCTACATCTTGTCTTAACACTGCTCTTAGATATTTTTCTCTCATCTTTGCTGTTTGTCTCTCCCCTGTTCTTGTCCAACAATATCCTTCTGTTTTTTTTTTAAACCGTCCACAAAATAATTAAAAAAATAATATTGAAAGGAACCAAGATATTGTTTTAATTAGATATTTGTTTCTAGATAAAAAGGGAAAGAAACATGTTCCAAATAGACTTACCAAGGAAACATAGTACCCAGGATGCACAAGACGCATAAAGCAAAGCTACAGCATTCTGTTAATTACCAAATGTGTACAGAGAAAAGAAACGTCAGTACTCTTAATTCTGGTATGAAAACAATAGATGTACATTCTAAACGGTCAGTTCACGACTCGATTTACATGTCATTAGTGGAATGGATTTAACTCATATCTCAAATCTATTATATTTTTTCTTTCACTTATTATCATGGTCATAATCTTTGCTGTTTGGATTTAACTCCTAATCCTAACATATACATGGTCATATATAAGATAAGTTAGTAATCCATTAAGAGGTTGAGTATATCAAGCCATGTTTGGTCTACTTACAGAGAATAGAGACCAAAAAACAAAAAAAAGGGCAATCGAAGAGGAAAAAAAAAGACCTTGGAGATGACTTTCATGAACGTTCCATCGCTGAAAGAGCCACCGAAGTCATTCAGTAGTAAGCCCATGATGAAAAATATAATAGGAGTAATGAAGCCATCACCGACGGCTCCGATTAACCCTAATCCCATCAACATCCGATCCACACCGTCGGCGTGCATAAAAATCGATCTTATCCTTCCCCAACTCTTCATCTTCTTCCTTTACGTACCCTTCTTTTCTGTTCCAGAGAAAATAACAGAACGACACCTTGACTTTAAGGAAGCGACAGTCTCCTTTCTTCTTTCTTTTTAAGAACAAAAAGTTCTCTCTTCTAGCGGTAATATTAAAGAGCAACCATTTCTTCTTCTTCTTCTTTTTTTTTTTTTTTGTGTGGGGATTTTCTCGTTTAATGTTATTTGTTCACGTCTGATATCGTTTTATATAGCAACCGAGACAGAAGGAGAAGGAGACCGTTGGCTTTTTAATATATGAAAAAGTTAACATGACTTTATATTTTTAATCAAAAAAAAACATGATTTCATATATCATCAACTTCCTTATTTTATTTCATATCTTCACGTTACTTTTTTTTTTAACTTTGAATATTGTTCTGTATTTATATTGAGAAATCGTAGAATTACTAAATCTATTTTTTTTAACAGCATCACTAAAATATTTCTGCCAAAATATCTTTCAAACTTTCGTGTCTCCCACCTCGTACTTTGTGATTTATGACCAAATTTTGAAAAAAAAAAATACTGAAATTGAATGCCAGAAGAATCAAATCTGTAATTATTTTATTTTTTATTGTGAAAGTCTAATATTTTGACAAACGTTTCTACAGTAAATGTATATTATCTTCACGAATAGCCATCAGTCATATATTAATTAAAGACCAATGTGAACATTTTAAAACAAATAATTATATGTTAATCAGGCAAGTTGTCAATGTACCATTGACTTTAGCTGTCTTTTACATAACATCATCAAAACGTCGATTCTATATTGACCACTAGAATTATAATGAAAGACTGGATTTTTTACATCATACTTAATTAAAAAATTATTTCTTTTTGTTTTTTTTTTTCGTTATAAAAATTTATTTTTTAATGATCTTTGATCTAATACTTAAACCTTTGAAAATAAGAAGTTTATAGTTTTTGGACCTTTTGCAAATAATCTTTTTATTGATGATACATTTTAAGGAGTAAGTCATCTATACCCAAAGTTGCCAACCCTAAAGTAAACAATTACTCAACTCAACTTAGAGTGAATGTGACTGAAATATTAAGTTTTAATTTGAAAATTAGGTAATTAAGATAAAAAAAGTTTGACCATGCATAAATATCCTCTTCATTTTGTTTATTTACACAAATTGATATTGATATGAACACTTTTTTTTGGCAGCTATGCTGTTCATCAACCACGTCACGACACTATTCATTCGAAGTCAACAAAACCATTATGTGCGTAGTTTTGTGAAAATAAATTCCAACTAGACGTGAAAGCTTGTATCTTTCCTTAATAACAATATTGAATTATATTGTCTTACTTATATATTTTGGTTAAATAATAAAGTCTTACTTATATATTCGATAAAATCTTATATACAGTATGTTCAATTAATATAATTACTCATTCCGTTTCACAAAGAGTGTCATTCTGACATTTTTCACACAAATTAAAAAATAAGATAAAAGATTTTTTATACCCTTATTAATTTGCAGAAAATGACCTTGGAATTATATTTATAATTAATTTTCTAAATTTATTGAGGTTAAAAATGGTATTTTATGTTAAAAATTACATTAAAATTCTAAAACGATATTTTTTTGAAACAAAAAAATGTCAGAACGACACTCTTTATAAAACGGGGAGAGAGTACTATCTATGAAGATTCTTCGATACGCACATGCGTGGAATTGATTAGGTTTTGTTGTTCATTTTGTTGCGAGATTAAAACATGAAAGCAAATGAGTGATCCATATGCAAGTCATTTACGTGGGCTTGCACAACTCTTTATTCTTATACAATTGTTTATTTTTCTAAGAGGAGTTTCAAAGTTATGATAAATAGTTTCAAGGGTTTGATTATAGCATCGTCTTCTAAACCCTTATAATTGTGGGTTGTTTGGGGTCTGACTTCTGAGCCATGTTTTGAAATAATAAATTTCTGGAATAAAATGCCCTTTTCAAGACAGGCATGCACATGGCCTCTTAAGTCTCTGAGCCACCCCAGCATGACAGCGAGTGAGAACTTGGGCATGCTTTCCACAGTATAACTGTCTTAAATTTGGACCAATAACTTCGACTTCGAAGTTCGAAGCTACATGCTTCCATATGTTACTTCGCCCAATTTATGAATTATTATTACAGTTCACTGGTTTATGTTAATGTTTGATTTGATTTTCTTCAATTTGTTCTTTTGTAGAAATTTTGATTTAGTCTTGTTCTTATGACATTACATCCAACCAAATATTTATACTCCAAATATGCGATATTATGAGCTATTTTGATTTATATGGTCTTGTGTTCAGTATTCTTATGACATTACATCCAAAAAAAAGAGAGAGATGATCTTATGAGCTATTTAGCTCAAAACCCGCAAAAAAACGAGGCCAAAGAACGAACAAAACCAATCGAATGTAAAGAACAAAAAAAAAAAGATTGTAGAGAAACTCTTAAACAGAGCAAGTGACTTCCCGACCTAAAAAGCTAATGTTAGCGTCTTTTGATATCATCTTCTGGTCAGTCTCTCTGTCTCTACCTCTTCGCGCATCAAGAACCAAATGTTGTCTGAACGTTGTTATGAATGCCTCTACTCTCTCATTTAGCTCCTCGTTCGATAACCTCCCTGGCTCAAATTCATCTTCTTCTCCATTGAAGTCTACGGATTTCTTGTACAACAAGCAATCTTTCACAGTTACATCGAATTCAGGACAAACCCTTTTCGTCTCCTCCACGACGCAGTTCTTGATTACCTCCTTTGGCTCTACGGCAAGGAAAATTTGTTCGGAACAAGCTGGTTCATCTACCATTCTTGTCTTTGTAGTCTTCTTACTCTTCTTCCCTCGCACCATCCTCATTCTACTTCCCCGACGAGTCTTGAAATTGCGAGTCTCGCCCGAAGTAGGACGAGTCGAGGTGAAGTAAACGGCTAAGACGACGACGTTGAGTAGAAGGAAGACCAAAGAACGCCATTGTTCGATCAAATACGATACAGAGGAGAAATGTTTTAGACAAGCCATTGAGAGAACAGCAAATGCAGTCAACAACGCCGTACACATGTTCTCTTCCTCCACCTCCTTCTTCTCCACTCTAAGATCTTTCTTCATCTCCATTATTGTCTCTCCCTTTCTCTCTCTCTCTTTTTCTTGCTCTAATCTGTTTCTTTCTTCCTCTGGTCGATGACGGTGAGATTCTTATACGAAATTTTCAAGATTCTAAAACAAGAAGTTGGTGGGTCCGATTGTGGAAGACCAAATGGCGAACAGAAAGAACAAAACGAAAAGACAGGAGAAGGAGAAGAAGAAGAAGGTGGAGGAGACAAGAACAGGCATGCCCCTTCATATCTGCTCTTATTCCAGACATCTTATTATTACTTTCTTCTCAGGCTTTTCTGATTTCCTCTGTTTCTTCTGTTTTTCTGCTTTTCTTTGTTTCCCTTTTTTTCCTTGGGGACCATTATTCCTTAAAACAATCATTTTCAACTTCCACTATATGCAAATTCAATTTCAACATCAAAAGAAGATAGAAAACTTCCAACTTTTGATATTTATATGTAAAATCTAATATATATATATATATATATATATATATATTCTAATAAATTCTGATTTTTGGGTTATGCAAGTTTTAGTTCACTAATTGTTTTTAGTTTCCGGAGTAACTTTTTTTATATTTTGCTGACAGTTAATATCATTATGTTAACCACATTGTAAAAACATGCGATTGCTCAAGATTTTATTTTATTTTTGCTAACAGAGGGAATCCTAAGCTAAACCAGACTCATCCTCACAACCTATGAAAAACGGAATTTTTTAGCCATTTAAAGCGTTCATATACCAATGACCAACCATACTTAAAACTGAAGTGAAAATACTCGATTTTGGTTTGTTTGACTAATATGGTAAATCATCAACCACTAGATCAAAGTTGGTTAAAATACCAAATGATATCTATTAAGTTTTCATTTCCCAAGTGTAAAGAAAAAACAAAAAAAAACATAAATAGAGAAGTGTTAGCTACTCAAAGTTAAGTTCACCGAGACACCGCATGCTAAGCAGAGAGGTGGAAACAGTTTTCACAGAAACAAGTGTATATCTTTTAGTTAAAAGGTTGAATAACACTACGAATTAACAAAATAATTAAAACACATTACACGCCTGCTTCTCTCTGTCTTGTTAATTCTTTCAGTGCAGTGTGGCCCCATTTTTGTTCTTCTTTCCCAAACACATGCGCTTTGTGTTTGTAAATGTTCTAATCCCGAAAACATTATAGACAATATATTTTTATACTATATAAACAGAACTGCATTGGATAACTTTTATTCAAACTATTTTTCATATATTTACTGAGTCTATAATCAGATCTATTCTAAAAGTTAATAAAGTTTAGTAGTTTGTACTGTAAGCTTAAGAACATCCATTTATATCTTTTTCTATGTTAGAAAAAAACCATTTCTAATCAATCAACAAAAAGTTAAATATTGAACAAATTGACATTAATTTAATCTAGATTCAGTTTTTATTATCAACCAAAAAAGGATTGAAAACCACTGTTTGATTATATTGGAGGGATTAAGAGGTTGTGATTCTTTTTTTTCGAAGATAAGTGCCATCTCAGACCAATTCTGATAGATGATAGATAAATGAGTTAGTCATATTATGCACAGGACCACGCTTATGAAGTTTCATTCAAGTTTTTAACGTTTTCATTCACCAATTTAGTTACAACAATACCAAACTGGTCAGATTTTTGACAATTTCAAAAATTAAGTTAGACTTGTTAACACTTTCAAAACTCACATATTGGTTGTGATTCTTCTCCCTCGTTTCACTAGATCTTAAAACCCCACAATCACATGAACTACTACGGTTATAATAGCTAATAATAACAACTTAGTACCCTGAGAAAAACACTCTCCTTTCCAAGTTCCAATGACTCAAGAACACTGGGTTGTCACAGATAAGCTGAAGTTAAAAATATAATCCTTAAGGTGCCAAGATCGATACATACTTCTCAGCTTAAGCTTTAGTTGATAAATCTGTTCTCAAAGAGTTCCCCTGCACAAAGATTTGCCAGTCTACCATCAGCTTTCAGACAAGGCTTTAAGCTGCACATGACAAAAAGAGCCTGCTTAACTGAACAATTCCTGATGCTGTGAGTGTCGATTGAAACTAATATGCAAGAAAACTCATAGCTTTAGTTGTAAGACTATAATAGATTCAGTTGACAGGAATGTCGTATCAGAAAATATTGGTAAGGCTTGATAAATGGGCGAAAATGAATGGACGAACTATGCAATAATGTACTCGAATTTACTCACCTTTGTGGCAACCTCAGCTAATCGTGGGGTTTCTCTGGATGGTTCATTACTCAAAGTGGGTTTAATTGGGTGTTGCGCGTTGTGTTCTTTCTCCTCAACCTCTCTTTTGAATGGAAGGTTATTACTTTCATCATTTTCATTTGAAGACCCTCTCTTTCGTTTCCTTTGAAATGTATACTTCACAAGTCGATTTACATTGGCTCTTAGAGGCTCACTGATTTGATCTGATACTGCTGCAGTAACTTTTAAGTCAGAATCCATATTGACCAACTCAGAACCCATTTTGGTAGATGGAACCACACTATCTTCTTCACCCACAGATCTTACCAACACATCTTCATCTCTTGATTTTAAGTCTTTGTCTGATGATTGATTTCTTGCAGTCACACTGACCATAGTAACATTTGTGGATCCTGAAGTCGGATCCACATTGCTTTTAACTGAAGTTAACCCGGGATCCAAACGATGAAGCGGCTTTATCAGATTAGACTGAGATTGACAAGGTTTGATAAGCTGAATTTGAGACCTAACTGATTTAGCTTTTGGCTTTCCCCACCTCCTCTTTCTCCTTCGACGTAATTTGTGTGACTTTCTGGTTTTCTTGATTCCTAATGCATTTGAAGGCTTTGTTAACACCTCTGCATTACTGGCTCTAAGAGCAAGAACAAGAGATCTTGTGCTTCCCGAAGTGCCAGCTTCATGGCCGTTCACTTTACCTGAGCTCAAGTTTTCTTCACTATCCTTTTCATTTATGCCTTGTTCTGCTTCGTTTGCAGAAGAAGATGAATTCCTCTCCAGAACTTTCCTTTCCAAAGCGTGGATCCTATGTGTACAACCATTTCTAGAAAGCTCAAGCTTTTTACTTATGATATTGGCTTCCACTTCAGACTCACAAGCATCACTTCCTTTAAAGGCATTAACACTCAACCCGTCAAACTTCTTTTCGTCATTTTCACATTCAACATCATGCAATGAGCTAAGATCCGGAAGAGGGTCATTCACGACAGAGAGGCAAGTATCTGCAACCTCTTGATTAGGATGCAAAGTTCCAACAACAACAACCTCAGAATCAGCCTTCTGAGCAGGAATCGTTTCTTCTTCCTTGTTCACTGCATTTCGCACCTGCGAATCATAAACCTTTGCTTTCTCCAATCTGTCTCTCACCCATCTCAACTCTGACCTCAGGTCAGTAATAATATCTTCAGCCTCTTGAAGCTGAGCTTCAAGCACATCAATCTGCCTTTGCTGGTTTGTTGATGTAATCTCTCCTTCTATTTTCTGTTAATAGGGCTTAATAAGTAAATAACAACAAGCTAAACGAATTCTAAACCATTCTCGTTAAAGCAAAAAGCAACACAAGAGAGACAACAAGGGAAGCTAACATCTTTATCTAAACATTAATCCTCCTAAACAAATGATACCCATTAATCACGAGACCAAAAATACTACACCGATTGAAGGAATAGACCATTAAGTATTCCTGAAAAATCTGTCGGATTTTTCTAATGTTTGAGCAGAACATTACCTTAGCATCTATCATCTGTTTCAATCGGACAAGGAGACGAAGAGCCTCATCCTTGGTTCCGCAGAGATCGTGGTGAAACCGAGCTGATTTTCTGTCGGAAACCATAACCCTAGCAGCCGATTCCTTCGTCGTGTTTAGAATAATCTCCGCGTAAGCTTTCTTCAAGGCCGTCGTTTTCTGCCACCGGAAAACCAAAAAAAAAGAACGAAATTCGCAATCAAAAAAATGCTAAGCCCAGATCGTTAAAACAAAAAAAATCAAAGCACAAGTAGTAATATTCTCTGTACATCTAACTCTTCCATAGTCGAATATCGTCTCCAATTTCTCCCGCCGAAGAGCAGAAACTCGGAAGCAACAAAAAAAAAAAAAAAAGCTTTACCTTTCACTGGTCGGTTAGGAACTGACATGCTGTTTGTTTAAATTACCATTTCACCCTTCGATTTTTTGGAATCTTTCAAAACACAAAAACGGCGTCGCTGCATTTCACATAGAAGGCTTGAAACGACATCAGATAGGCGATGGTGATTAAAAACCTAAAAAATTCGGAACATTTCACAATTTCAGTGACTAACTACTTAATCATAATCCAACTATTTACGTCAATAATATTAAACATATTAAGGGAAAAAAAACTCAGATCTTATTATTTCCATAAGCAGTGTATATATACATTACATAACTAATATATCAGAAACCCTAATGGACTATGAGACATTAACATAATGGTTAATGGGCCGGTTACTAGAAGTCCATTTGTTTATAACACCCCCCTTGGATAAGGTAACCGTGCCTGTCACAAAACCGGGATCTCTATAATGCGCTGGGGAATGTTGCCTCATTAAAACCTTACCAGGAAAACCCAGTAAGAAAAACCATGGTGAAGGAAAAAGAGTACAACACGCATTACTCTCCTTGGTTTAGGCATCACTGTAGATCTCTAAGTCTACGCATTCCTATCTGATGAATGAGCTTCCGGAGTGTAGAAGTCGGTAATGATTTAGTGAATAGATCGGCTGAATTTTCGCTTGATCGGACTTGCTGAACCTTGACCTGACCATCCTTCTGCAGCTCATGAGTGAAGAAGAATTTGGGCAGAATATGCTTCGTCCGGTCACCTTTGATGTAGCCGTCCTTGAGTTGAGCGATACAAGCTGCATTGTCTTCATACATCACCGTAGGCTCCTTATCTTCGTCCATACCACACTCTGATCGGATATGCTGAGTCATGGACTGCAACCAAACACATTCCGTTTCTTTAAACTATTCAACTCCACGTTTATGGCTTCTTTCCATTTCAGCCAATCTGATCTACGAGTGCACTCAATTATAGACGTGGGTTCTAGATCCTCTTGCGTGTGCACAATCTCAAGTGCTACCTTGTATGCAAAAGTTTCATTGATGTCGACATCTTTTCTGTTCCATAGAGAACCGAATATGATATAATTGATTGAGATCTCATTATTATCAATCCCTTCAGAACCTTGAGTTTTGGCGTCCCAAACCTCTTGAGATGGTTCGATAGGGTAAGTATCAGCTGAGGCTGTATCCGTGTTCTCTTGAATCCCGGTTTCAATCATTGCACCTTTCTTTGATTTCCGGGGATTCTTATCTTTGGAACCTGGTGGTCTGCCACGTTTCTTACGTGCGTCAGACTCTGTAGCAACTTGACTTTTCCCTGAGGGGACATCTATTCGTACTGGTGCATTACAAGCTGGTATGTACGATTTGGTAACTTTGTTCGGGTCAGCAAAGGAATCTGGCAATTGATTAGCTAGCTTTTGTAAATGTATAATTCTTTGGACCTCTGAATCACATTCTAGAGTCCGAGGATCTTGCCATTGTGTGGATGTTTGATTCCATGAAAGTTCTTTTACCAGCTTGTCTGTCTCACCACCTAATCTAGGATATACCGATTCATCAAATCGGCAATCTGCATATCTGGCTTTAAACAGATCTCCTGTAGTTGGCTCGAGATATTTTATGATGGTGGGAGAGTCAAAACCAACAAATATTCTCATCCTCCTTTGAGGTCCCATTTTAGTCCTCTGTGGTGGTGCAATGGGTACATAGACTGAACACCCAAATGTTTTAATATGGGAGACGTCTGGCTCATGACCCGTTAGCAATTGGGATGGTGAATATTTGTGCTCACTAGATGGTCGTATGCGTATTAGTTCAGCGGCATGTAAGACTGCGTGTCCCCAAGCTGAGACCGGGAGTTGTGACCTCATGAGTAATGGTCTAGCAACCCATTGAATTTGTTTAATGAAGGATTCAGCTAATCCATTTTGTGTATGGACATGTGGAACGGGATGTTCAACACTTACCCCCATGGACATACAATATTCATTAAACGCTTGGGAAGTGAATTCACCAGCATTATCAAGACGTATAGTCTTTAATGGGAAGTCTGGAAAATGGGCTCGTAATCTGATGATTTGGGCCAATAACCTAGCAAAAGCCTGGTTCCTAGAAGAGAGCAGACAGACATGCGACCAACGGGTCGATGCGTCAATGAGGACCATGAAATATCTGAATGTCCCACAAGGTGGGTGAATTGGTCCACATATGTCTCCTTGGATTCTTTCCAGAAAGTTCAAGGTCTCTTTAGACACTTTGACTGGTGAAGGTCGGGTAATCAGTTTCCCTTGTGAGCAAGCTGTGCACTTGAGGTGCTGAGGGAAAATACCATTTGGTTTAAGGCTGTGCCCTTTAGAATTCTGGACTAATTTACGCATCATGTTCGCACCGGGATGACCCAGGCGATCATGCCAAATAGTGTAATTCTAAAAACCGTGCTTTGATAGCAGCATTAGCCTCAATCATACTGACTTTAGCATGGTAAATGCCAGTAGATACGGCGGGTATAGTTTCAAAAACTTGTTTATGGCCATTTATCATTTTAGTGATAATTAAAAACTCTTTGTTCCCTTCATCCTGAGTTTCGATATGGAAACCATTCAATCTTATGTCTTTGAAACTCAATAGGTTTCTCTTAGAACTGGGTGAGTATAAGGCATCAAAGATGTCTAGATATGTGCCATTTGATAACAACACATTAGCTTGGCCATGACCCTCTATTAGGCTCGAACTACCCGCTATAGTGCTAATGTTTGCTGTTTTGATTACTAAATTTATGAAGAATTCTTGTCTTTTAGAATGGTGTGGCTCGATCCACTATCCACAATGATATCCATATTGTCTTGCATATCTTTTCGCCAAATGGATTTCTGACCGGCTTATGATCTGGGAGCTAAAGACCACAGATATCTACTGGAAACTCCTGGGACAGCGCCGATTGTTTTGAGTCGTGAGGGCGCGTCTGGTGTCGGATTGAGGAGCGGTTTTCACTACTAGATTCTGCTCTTCCAGGGCTTCAAAATGATATGTAGATCGTCTTCTAACTCCTTGTATTTTGAGAGATATGAGCGTTTGAAGTTGAGCTTCATGCTGATAACGTATTAAGGGAAAAAAAATTCAGATCTTATTATTTCCATAAGCAGTGTATATATACATTACATAACTAATGTATCAGAAACTCTAATGAGCCATGAGACATTAACCATCAGGTTAATGGACCGGTTACTAGAAGTCTATTTGTTTATAACAAAACAGACATTCTTACACATGCATATCGTGCGAGTCATTTAATTTACAATAATATATAAGTTTTGCGTTCGTCTATGAAAACACGTTGAGTGATAGTCACAACAATTACTTTAAAAGTTTGGTTGGTCAAAAAACGAAGGCCCATTGGGTAAGAGAATATTTTTGCTGGGATTTTGGGTCTTGGGTGGTCCTATCATTTTCACAGCAATTGAGCTCATGTATAGGTAGGTTAGTTTAAAAATGATATCATGTGAATTCCAACTTGTTTAATTGCAAAAATGTATATTTGACCATACCAAACCCATACATACCTAAAACCCAATTTGCTGTCATCAAAAGGTCTACGGTGACAGCACACACACGCACGCACATACAGTAATACTAATTACATCAATTATTAAAAAATAAAAACATATCCATGAAGTATACATTTATCTTAAATAATTATGATATCAGTTGAGGTTTTGAATATAAGCAAAGATAATGTAAAAGCTGCTCTCGAGCAGGTCGAACCAAAAATATCACAAGTTGTCCTTAATAGCTTGGTTTAAGGTTGTAACTGAACCTCTTAAATTTTCCTTTTTTTTTGTTTATTTCATTAATTTTTTTGTCTACAAGACCAGTCAACTTAAGAAAACAAAAACAACCATACCATTAGGCATTAGCAACCCTACAATATTCGAATATTTATTAAATAAAAGTCCGGAATGATTGAAATTTCGTTTTAATTGCTTTCAAAACATTAAAAACAAAAAATTACTATTTTTTTTTGCAGGCAGGATGAACAATAAAATAAATAGAAAAAGACATCAAAGTCGACGACTACTCTGCATCAATCTAATCCTTGTCCTTGAGACGACCGTTCAACGCGTCTGACTTGCAGGCCTCTCTCTCTCTCTCAAAACTTCATTTCATTGGCAGATACAGAAATAAAAAAGCAAATTTTAATCCAAACCCAGAAAAACCTTTGAACACTTCATCCATGGAGATCAACTCAAGCTCCAGAAAGCTGCTTCCTTTGTTGATTATCACTACTGTGTTCGTCTTCTTCCTCTGCTATTCTCCTGCGATGGCGGCTGATGAAGACGATATAAGATGCTTACAAGGACTCAAGAGCTCTCTTACCGATCCTCAGAACGCGCTGAAATCATGGAACTTTGCAAACTCTACTATCGGATTTCTCTGTAATTTCGTGGGTGTGTCTTGTTGGAACAATCAAGAGAATAGGGTTATCAATTTGGAGCTTCGAGACATGGGTTTGTCTGGTCGAATCCCAGAATCTCTACAATTCTGTGGGAGCTTACAGAAACTGGATCTCTCTAGCAATCGAATATCTGGTAATATCCCAACACAGCTGTGTAGCTGGTTGCCGTTTTTGGTATCTCTTGATTTGTCGAATAATGAGCTCAACGGTGAGATTCCTCCTGATTTAGCAAAGTGTAGCTTCGTGAACTCTATAGTTTTGTCTGATAACCGGTTATCTGGTCAAATCCCGGTTCAGTTCTCGGCTTTGGCTAGATTGGCCAAGTTCTCTGTCTCTAACAATGAACTAACAGGTCGCATTCCATCTTTCTTTGACTCGCCGAATTACTCCTCCGATGATTTCATTGGGAATAGAGGTCTTTGTGGTCCTCCTCTATCTTCGTCTTGTGGAGGGTTAAGCAAGAAGAATCTCGCGATCATAATTGCAGCTGGTGTGTTTGGTGCTGCTGCATCGATGTTGTTGGCTTTTGGGATTTGGTGGTATTACCATTTGAAGTGGACAAGAAGAAGAAGAAGAAGCAATGTAACTGAAGGAGGAGTTAGTCGCTTGGCGCAGAGACTTCGTAGCCATAAGCTTGCTCAGGTCTCTTTGTTTCAAAAGCCTTTGGTTAAGGTTAAACTTGGGGATTTAATGGCTGCAACAAACAACTTCAGCTCCGAGAACATTATTGTTTCCACTAGAACAGGAACAACGTATAAGGCGTTTCTTCCTGATGGCTCAGCTCTTGCGGTGAAGCATTTGAGCACGTGTAAGCTCGGGGAGAGGGAGTTTCGTTATGAGATGAATCAGTTGTGGGAGCTTCGTCACCCTAACTTAGCTCCACTTCTTGGATTCTGCGTTGTGGAAGAAGAGAAGCTTCTTGTTTACAAATACATGTCTAACGGGACACTGCACAGGTTGCTGGATTCAAACGCGGTTGAGTTGGATTGGTCTACTCGGTTTAGAATCGGTTTAGGTGCTGCAAGGGGTTTAGCTTGGCTTCACCATGGTTGCCGCCCTCCGATACTTCACCAAAACATTTGTTCAAGTGTGATTCTGGTCGACGAGGATTTTGATGCAAGGATTATAGATTCAGGGCTTGCGAGGATTATGGTTCCCTCGGAGAACAACGAGAGCAGTTTCATGACTGGTGATTTAGGAGAGTTTGGGTATGTAGCTCCGGAGTATTCTACCACAATGATAGCTTCACTAAAAGGTGATGTGTATGGACTCGGAGTTGTCCTCTTGGAGTTGGCGACAGGGCTAAAAGCTCTTGGTGGTGAAGGTTTTAAAGGGAGTTTGGTTGATTGGGTGAAACAGCTTGAAAGTTCAGGAAGAATCGCTGATGCATTAGATGGAGACATTCGAGGGAAAGGGCATGATGAAGAGATCTTGAAATTTGTTGAGATTGGTTGTAACTGTGTGGCTTCAAGGCCTAAAGAGAGATGGTCAATGTTTCAGGTATACCAGTCATTGAAAGCTATCGCTGGGAAACAGGGTTATTCGTTCACAGAACAGGACGATGACTTTCCTTTGATTTTCGACACACAAGAGAACGAGGCCGTGTGAAGTATGAAATCTTATGGGAAGCCTGTGATGGTGAGGATTTTCAGGATTATATTATCTTGAGGTATTATTTGTGTATATCATCTTGTACTACTTTCTACTGCCAAGTTAGAGAAGATGCTTTTATAAAAGAATTTGTAGACTATGTTATTGTAAAAAACAGGAGTGTATATGTTATGCGTCAGAGTTTTTCAAACTGTTGCTTTGGTGTTTATATAACTGATAGATTCTGAAGAGAACTGTTTAGAGAATTTAAAACATGGGTTTCATGGGGGAGGAATTGTTTCTTCCTGGAGTCTTGAAAGAGTGACAACAATTTTCACTCATGTTTTCTTTTAAGAACAAAAAAGAAAGTGCAAAACTGGAATCTGTGTCCCATGCAGAACAAGATAAAGAGGATTTTTCTCTGCAGAATCTTACTTTAGGGTCTGCTTCTCGATACAGTCAAAATCAAAGCCAGCAAAAGAAGCTAAAGATTGCAAGAAAGCGAGAAGGAGAGGAGAGAGAAAGAGAGGTTTGCATCTATGCTCACTCCTTTTGTATTTCACTTTGTCAGATTCCCAAAGTTCAGAAGAACCCAAAAATGAAAATCTAAGTGATTCTAAAGTTGTGCAAGGACAAGCTTGTAATAAGAAGCAAAATCATGGGGTCTCTTAGTTGTCTTAGTGGTGGAGATATATTACAAGGCATAGATTATATGATAACAATCAGTAATTTAAGGGGCAAATGAGTTTTTGAAAACAGAGCAACTTTAGTTAATGGTTTGCTTTAGCAGAGGAAACACAAAAGCAAACTTTAAAGTTAATAGATTTAAAAAGAAAAGGCAAAGATAGAAAAGAAATATGAGGAAAACAGGAGAGCTAGATAAAAGACATAAGCCTATAATTCTATAAATGTTATTAAAAAACCCTACAAAGCCATTAAGAAATCTTAATATCTGCCTCAATCTTCTCTACACCTTCACGTCTAAAAAAAATCAATCTTTAGACAACAATGGTCCAAAAAGAAAAAGAGAGCATGACTTCACCTTCCAAAACGCTACAGAGCCAAGAAGAGACTTCACCTTTGCAAAACAGAGCAAGGCTACACAAGCTATGAATTCATAGCCTGTATCTATATTTGAAGTTATGGATCGCTCCACCAAAAAAGAAAAGTAGCTTCTTGACGTGGAAATGCAATTGAGAGGTCGCGTAGTTCACTTTGTGTCTGAAAACGGTAGAAAAACCGAAAATGAACAAAACCCACATAATAGTTTCATGAAGTATCTATAGAAAAGTTTGCATACCATTCACGTCTCGTAGCTATATCAAACTCGTGTTGGCCGTCTCGAAGTTTCTGATTTCCTGAAGAAATAGTTTTGAAAGAAAAGCTCAGTAAAGTTGCGTTCCCTTCTTTTGCAGTAAAACTTTAAATAAAGTGGTCAAATTCTTCACAAGTGCCTTTAGTTTTCTTAAAGCATAGATATTAGAGAAAAAAAAAGCTTTTACTAAAACATAATAACATTATCTGCTTTCAAAAAACGAGTTCTTTAATGGCACAAAATGTACAGTGACACTGAAAAGAAGGAAAGAACAAGAATTCTCCATGCAATAATCTTTTTAGAAACCAGTGATTATCGGTATCCGTGTAAAGTTACATCCAAAACATCTTGAATTGAGCAAACACTTATACTTAGTTTTTGTATAAACATACTGAAAAGTGAAAACAACTTCAAGACAAAAATTCTCAAAAGGCTTCATCTCTGATAGAAAACTCAAAGAAGCAAATGTAAAAGATCGAACTTTAAGAGAAGATAGGAACCTGTTATGAATAGGATCAGGTCCATTTGGAACTTTTCGCTTGCTCACATGAAACAGATTCACATCCTCACCACTAAACCGCAAAGTCTTGACCTTTCGTGTTGATGGAACCCTTGTTGCAGAGTTTGCTAAGATACCGACAAGAAGAAACACAATAATACCCAGAGACACAACAGCTCCAACCAAAGCTCTAATGCCATTTCCACCCATACTGCAACCTATGTCCCTACAGCTTCCTGTTTAACATGAACAACTGGCCAACCAAACCCAAGAATAGACTGAGCAGAACATCCATGATGTTGGTGAAGTGACTGTCACATAAATAGAGAGATATCTTTGGACAGAAGAAGCTAAAAAAAAAGGGGGAAAGCGAAATGGGAAGCAAAAAACAAGCATTTAAGTTGTTTTTGTATACCTTTGAGGACAAATCCGTGATTGGCCCTATTTAAAGATTAAGCACACAAAGCAACAGCATACATACGTAGGTGTCCACGTAGAGAGAGAGAAAGGATGCAAGAGGAAGAGAAAGTTAGAGAAAACGTATCTTTATGTAACATATGGGCCCTTGGAGTACCTTTTTCTTTGCTTTGATTTGTGAATTTTCATGCACCAAACCATTGGGGACCTCACAAGCTCCCCTAACTACATATATTTTAAGCCAAATAAAAGCATAGGACAGTGTAGCTTTTGTGCCTGAGTATTAGCAAGCCTACTACTTTCCTTACCACTATCTTAAATCGCTTGGATGTTTCTTTTAAACAATAAGAAAATCAATTAAGAATGTAACAATGCATAAGTAAAAAAAAAAAAAAAAAAACAAATCTGTGAAAAGGAGGTTGAGCTACAATTTTCTTTCTTGTTAAGTATTCCCTCCTTACCAAGAGCCCATTAGCAGAAAAGAAATGTATGCTTCTTCTGATAAACTCTTTCTTGTGATCAACAGAATTTAAAGATAAACTGGAAACTTATAAGGGTACTTACTACACAGTACCTCAAAGCAAATGAAATGATATAGAGATACGCGTAGGTAAACTATATCCAAATTGCAAAGAAAAGAATCCATAACTGATTGACAGCTAGGGAAGATTGAGCAAGTTTGTTTCCATATCACAAGCAAACTCCCTTTTGGACCTGGTGGGATAGAGAAGCTTACCTTCTACATAGTAAAGCCAAGTGTTAAACTGACCTGGCCCCCACAATATTCTTACTATATATCTGTTTCCCCTATATTATTTTAGGGATCTTACACATGGTCAGGATAGTGTCCTTCTAGTACTGATTCTTACAGTGATTTTGTGAGCAAAAGCATCCCAATATTGCTCTCTGGAGATTTCTAGTTACATGTTCTATTGAAGAGTTGTTTACCAAAGTAGACTCAATTAGAGAGAGAGAGAGAGAGAGAGAGGAAGAAGGCTTCGACACATACCTCAGTTACGTCACTTTCGTAAAGGTTTTCTTTAAATTAGGAGAAATGTTTAGAATAAATATTGATGTATATGATACATACATATAGAAATCATGTGTAGCAAGTGGCTCTCTGAGACCTTAAGGGCTTCAAAAGAATCCATTTGTAATGGAAAAAAGAGAAACTCTAACTGACATCATATCTCAAACTGTGTACAACTATATTTCTGCATCACAGAGACAGAGGGCGACATACACCATTACCGATTTTAGAATTATCTTAGGACTGCAACTTGTTTCCATCTTAGGTCTCGGTAACAAACAAAATGGCGATTGATGGACAAAAGCACCTGCAAACATTTAACCTGAGACACTAAGAATATGTGACAGGAAGAAACGGAGATGAAAACGAAATGATCTTGTATCACATGACAGATGCAAATGCTGCAAATCAAACATTTAAGATGTAACAGCTAAAAGAGTATCCACATATTTATTTATTTATTGGTTTACATGTGAAAAACTTACTCTAGTATTCAAAGTTTGGAACAAACTAGTTCTTCAATTTCAGCCTCTGTTCATTCCCTTCAACCAAAAAATGGTCAGATGTGACCGTTGAGATTAACTGTGGCTTTAGGATTTTCTTGGCTTTTGAGCCCATTTCGGTCCATATATCGCCAGGTGTGTCCGGCCAAACCTTCGATCAGTCATCTGTATGAAATTTCTCTAATCAGAATTCATTCAACCCCATCCATTACACGAGTAATAAAAGGAAATAGTTACCTTTTCCAGGCATCCGCATGAATCAAGCATTGTGGTTCGTGAAGGGTACTCAACCACCTAGATCAGAACACGTCTAAGTGAACATGAGAAATACATGGTGACTTAAAATATGGTTTAAGGAGGGAAATACATAGCTACTCACAATAAATGTATTTTCTCCAATTGCTGCTGACTTAGAAATCTGATCCATCAGAACCTCATAGTCAACCTCCATGTACGGTGGTGTAACGCTGATATAGTCAAATGCTCCATCCTTACCTGATAGTAACAGATACTATTAAAAGCTGAAGTTTGCAAGTAATAATGAGAGATGAAACTGACAACTGTTTAACAACTTCAAGACTAGAGGCATGCCTACTAATTTATCTGCACGTTCCAAGAAGTTTTCGACTCGAGCAGTGTGTATAACCGAAGCATCAACAAATCCAGTGTGTTCCAAGTTTGGTTGTAGAACATTTGAAACAACCCAAGGATCCATCTCAACAAAGTGTGCCTGTAGAGAATAAGTCAAATCCTGTTTAGCTATCACTTAAACAAAAATAATCAAACAAGATCATACAAAACAATATCTCCCATTACAGTTATTTTTATTTCTTTGCTACCTCAGAACATCCTCGGCTGATTGCTTCAATTCCAACAGATCCTGTACCACTGTACAAATCCAACCACCTACCAGGACGCAGAGACGTTGGACAACCACCAGCAGCCTATATAGAAGGCGGATAAGAATCAGTTCTGGAATGTCAGAGAAATCCCTAATCTCAGGTGATAAATTCAGCTAAATGCAGAAGAAAAATAGCTAAAAACAGTCCATTTCTCATCAGTATTACCTGAAGAATTCCAAAAGCTGCTCCTTTAACAACTTCCATCATAGGTCTCACATCCATTCCCTTCAGAGAAAGCAATTTCTTTCTCTTGGCAGTTCCTGCAAGAACCTAAACCACTCGACACATTGGGGGAATCGAACAACAGAAACCCCAAAAAGAAGAAGCTTTAAAACACCATAAAACAGGCAAATGCACACCTGAAGTAACCTATGAGTTGTTCTTGGCTGAACAATAACCTCTTCCTGTTTTTGGCTGTTCCTTTCCTCTTCTTTTCTTCTCGTCTTCTACAATGAGTGTGTAACCAGTATTGAAATGATCAAACAGTAACTTTCCAACTTTCCAAAACAAAAATTTCAGCTCTCAAAAATTTCATTGATCAGAAACCGAAACAAAGAAATAGAGATGGGCAATGAACCTTAGATTGAGACGCAAACTCATTGGCATCATAACCATATCGTTCCAGCAACAACTTCTTATCCTCGCTTGCCAAACCACTGCCTGAATCTGATTTCACCAAAAGAAATGAACTGAGAAAGGAATCACGAAGATGCTAACAAGAAATCTATCTGTACAGTTCCAGAAAGAAACAAAATTTCCACACTTTTACGGCTCGAGACGACGGTGACGACGGATTTCCGAATACACAGTGGATTACAAACCCTGAAGGCGTGAATTTTTGGGAAAGAAGAATACGAGACACCCAGATTCTTATTCATGTCGATGTTGATTCCTAGTGGAGAGACTATGGGAGAAGATAACATAACTGCCATAGCTGAAAGGTTTCGACTTTGGAGCTTGCAAATGTTTCTCAGTAGCAAACCGAAAGAATAGCAAGGATAGGACTAAACTAAAACCCTCTTTTGGAGCCGGAGGGTCCATTTCCATCAAAAGGTGTCTAATTTGAGCTGTGTTTACAAACTGAAACATAATTGGATCCCAAGAAACCTTTTTTTTTTGTTCAACATCCCAAGAAACTTAGTACTAATAAAGATCATAAAGAAAAGAGGAAACTTATTGAAAACCCAGATGAAATATAGTTCTTGAAAATCATAAACCGTCCAATTTAAGGTAAAAGAGAAGCAGCAACAATAGCAAAAACAAGGATCTAATAATCGAAATCATTTAACAGTTGAGGGAACTGTGACAGCATCTCTTGGTCCTTATCCAATATTTCATCAACAAAGGAGCTCGCGGAATGACATGAACCCGAGGCCTTGGAAGCGATCTTCTGAGAGCTGCATTCGCCTTGGCTGTTGAAGTTTTCGTTCTGCACAAAAGTGAGGTTGCTAGTAGCAGAGGATCCCACTACTTGTGTCTGAGAATCCAGAGGTAAAGCCGGATCCGAGAGAAGAAAATCGCTCCAGCAGAATGTAGTAACCGGTGCTTGAGCCCCTTGGTTTGGCTGCGTGATACTAGCAGAAGACGAGGAGGAAGAACATGAAGATGTGGTTCCATTGAGCAGATGATTTGAATGGCTAGAGATATGGAATGGAGTAGTAGCTTGGAATTCAGATGAAGTGGGATTCGTAAACATCATAGGAGAGTTGTAATTACTCTCATGGCTTGTTGTGTTCCTGAACATTTCCCATGCTGAGTTGGATTGTGTGAGTATAGAGTTGTTAGATGGTTCTGTTTTGAAGTCTCTGACGAAATTTTCAGATGAAGTTCCATGGCCATTAATGTTTCTGAATTCTGAAAGGAGCTGAGAAACCGGTTTATGAGTCACTGGATCTATACCCATTTTCATCAGCCTCTTCTTCAGCTTCGTGTTCCAATGGTTCTTCACATCGTTGTCCGTTCTTCCTGGAAGCTTTCGTGCAATCGAAGACCACCTGAAAGCATCAGAGATTATTTACTATACATTACCAAATGAAATGTTTCAATGACAAGAAGTTTGATAGATTCTTGTCTTTGTTTTAAAAAAGTTAGTTAGCAATTAGGTTTCTTCTTTACCTGCTGCCAATGATTCCGTGACACTGAATGATAAGCTCTTCTTCTTGGGGAGAGAAGCTGTCATGTTTAAGGTCAGGTCTTAAGTAATTAGTCCATCTCAATCTACAGCTCTTTCCACATCGATTCAGGCCTGCACAGCAGAAACAAAAAACATTCAGACTTGTACAATGAGAAATCTTAAAAGAAGGGAGAGATTTATAGAAAGACCTGCTTTTTTAGGGATCAAACTCCAGTTTCCTACACCATGGATTGCAACATAAGCAAGGATCTTGGCGTCTTCTTCAGCGGTCCAGAGACCTTTCTTGACATTGGATTTGTCACAACATGGAGGCCTTCCCATTTTTTTTTTTTGTATTCAGACACAAGAGATAAGATGAACAAGAAGTTGAGAAATGTCTGAAAGTACCACAAGAAAGGATTTATGGAAATAGAGTGATGCAATGTAAAAGCTCTGAGACAGTGCTAGAGAGAGAGAGAGAGAGAGAGAGAAGGAAGGTGAGGATCTCATGCTTGAAGGCTCCTAATTAACGGTAATTGCATGATTGTTACACTTCATTAGAAATATAGTGTTTCGAAGTGCATGACGTAGTTTAGACAACTATCACCTCATGTACACTACATATTGTATATACATAATTCAGTTATCATGTATTGCTAGCTGACGATAAAATAAACTGACTTTTATTAAGTTTTGTTCTACTTATGAACCACAGGGAACATAACTGAACATGAAACTTAGGATCAGAATTATTTTTTAGTTTTGTTCTATATGTTTCCTTCTATTAACGAAAGGTTTTTCTTCCCCGAATGGCGAAAACCATTTTTTGCTATACAAAAATTTCCACCCTTTAATAAGAGTTTTTTTATTTTACTTGTTCTTAAGATGAGCAAGCTTTGCAACTCTTTCTGCAATAACCATGGTCTGTTTCTGAACCCACCATGTACGTTGGATTCTTCTCGCATTCCCCTGACTTGGCCCATTTTGGGCAGCTCTCATTCTCGTCCACACACCCAGTTGGCCTCTGGATCGGTCTCTCAAATGACTTAACATGAATCCATCTGGTCGCTGACCATTTCTCTCCCTCAATCACTGGACAGCTTCCATGTAAGCTGCTCGGATCTGTGGTTGCATTGGGATGAAGATTGAAGAAGAGCAATGCATCCCCTTTCATCGGTTTCACTGCAAAGATGCATATTTAGATATTACAATATACCAGTTGGAGGGACAGAATCATACTACTACAATCACATATGTCTGGAGCTTTTAAATTCCTCATTTTTCCACATTGAAACCAAATGCATGTTGAAGAACAGTATTCTACATGTGTATATATATCAAACAATATAGTGCTTTTACCTGCATAGCCTTGTTTTGCACATTCGGTCCAGCTATCGTCTTTCGGTTGAATTGTTTCACCCTTTAAGAATGTGTGATAAAATTGAAATGAGGCCACTTCAAGAAATGAAATCCAAATCTTAGGAGACAAGTTATGGAATGGGAAGTGATATATGAATGTCATTTACCTTCCACATGGGAAACACTGTTTCTCCGCCCTTTTTGACATTGGACAAATACATCAATACAGTGGCGATCCGATGACCACCAAGCTCTAGGTTTACCTGGTCGTGAAAGTAGTCAAAATGCGGTTCATATTTTTGACCATTCTCATAGTGCAGTATTTGCATGGACTCTCCATTTTCTAATCGACAACACAGAAAAAAAAAAAAAAAAAAAAAAGAGATTAGTTATCTGCTACTAAAGGATAAAGTAAGAAACATATGCCTCGGAAAATACCTTCAGGAAGAAAGGTCCATGCAGCAAGTTTTGACTCGACATTAGCTACTACATCATCCTGCACAGACACAAAACCTTACCATTGAAGTCTTCAAGCTTAAGGGTCAACAATCAGTGAATCACAGAAAACCATATACAAATCGAATAGAAGCAAGATTAGAGCTCAGCGTAACAGCGATCATTCTCAGAAAAATACATCATAAATTCAACTGATTGCACAAATCGATGCAGATAATAAACCACAGCTTCTAAAAGGTCAATCGAAAGCTCAGCAATAGGCAACATATTTTCCATGGATTCCCACATGTTCTGAATTTTTCCAAGATGGATCATATAGAGTAATAGAATCAAAGCTAACCTGTCTTTTGGACAGAAACATTCCAGAACTTGTGCGTACTTCACTTTCTACGCTCTCACCCGAATCATTATCCGCCACCATTGACTTCTCAAGCTTTCCTTTCGCCTAAAAGCAATGTCAAAATCCAAACAAAGTTTCTGAATTCAGTCACACAGTCCCAGAACATCCTTGATCATCACTTATGGAGAAAAAGTCAAGAAGGTGTTTGATTCTACCAAGTTGATAAAATGATCACATTCCTCATCGGAGAGAAGACCCTTGTATAAAAATACCCTGAAGAAACCACAAAAATCACATATTTATTACTTAGAAAAAATCAATCAAAATCCAGAGTTTTTTCCTGATACGCAAAACCAACAAACCTAGGGGTCCAAGAGAGCTGAGTGACACGAGTTGGATCAAAAGCAAGAGAGGAAGCACTCGTTTTCTGCTTAATCACAGACCCATCTCTAACCCAAAAAAAAAAAAAATCTCAGTCAACCAATCGAAATCCATCTCCACCATGATCAAGCACAACTCGAGGGAGAGAGATAACCTTTTACTCCATCGAGGGAGGAAGCGGATAGAAGCAGATGAAATTCGAGGGAAAATCAGGATAAGGCAGAGGGAAAATGCGAAAAAATTCCGAGAATCCATCCGGAAATTTTTCCTGAGCAAAAGATTTGATTGGCGTTGGCAACGTAATGAATTGTTGTATTCTTCTCAATTCTCACCCAAAGAATCTTCTTCTTCTCAATTTGTTTCACGTAGCTTTGCGATTTAACATTTTTTACCCACTTTCAAGTATAAATGACGGTAAGCGAGCGCCCACTGTTTTTTTTCTGCCTTGGTTTTTAATTCCCTTTGACTAGTAGTTCACTTTTGGTAGATCCTTTACCTCTTTTTATTACCAGCAACATTTAATGTTGGCAAAATAATGTTTTTTATTAATTTTGTCATGTCTGATATTTCCAAGTTTCCAAACAAGTTCCAATAGAAAAAGGGAAATTACCAAAAATTCTCCTTCTCATCCTCATTAATTACAGGATCTTGTAGAATTAAATAGATCAGAAGTTTCGACCAAAAAAAAAAAAATCAGAAGATTTGGTTTAACATTGAAGCCCACTAAAGGCCCGTAATGTGAATGGGTATCGCTTACAGCATGGGCCCATTAAAAAACTTCTGGCTCTCTTTCGTGTATCGTACGTACGGAAAACCCTAAGTCTCCTCATTATGGGGCGGCATTGGCCAATAAGAAGAGTCCTTTAAATACACAACCTTAAGGGCACTTTCACTAACCCTAGCAGTCATTTTCGCATTTTTATCGATTAGCAGAAGAAGAAGAGAACGATGAAGGTGATCGCTGCTTTTCTCCTAGCGAAACTCGCCGGAAACGAGAACCCAACGAAAGATGATTTGAAGAAGATCTTCGATTCCGTTGGTGCTGAAGTCGACGAGAAGAAGATAGATCTGCTCTTTTCTCTGGTCAAGGATCACGATGTGACGGAGCTGATCGCTGCCGGGAGGGAGAAGATGGCTGCTCTCTCATCTGGTGGCCCAGCTGTAGCTATGGTGGCCGGACCTGGAGGCGACGCTCCTTCCGCGGCTGAGCCAGCGGCGGAATCTAAGAAGGTTGAGGAGGAGAAGGAGGAATCGGACGATGGTGGAGGCATGATGAGTCTCTTCGATTGATTCGGTTTATCGTGAAGTTAATTAGAGGATCTGATTAATTAGTATCGTCGTCTCGTCTGGGTTGTTAATTTTCATCGCTTTTAAAATTTTTAGGGTTTATGTGGGATTCTGTGGATGGATCGTTGTTGCTACCTTTTAAGGAGGATTATTCATTGTTTTTAGAAGTTTTGAAATCTATCGTGAATAGATCTTTCTTGCTTATTGATCCGCACTCATATGCTTGTTCTATGAAGTTACATTGTTTTTGCTCGTAATTTGGAAAATTGTGGATGATGAGATTCTATAATATGAAATTAGTGCAGTGCATAGTGAGTATACTAATCTTATTTGGATGGGTGATTTCTATCAAAAAGTTGAATTGAGGTTTTTGAAAATTCATTTAGAAGCACACTGAAGTGGCAACAAAAGATTTCTTCTTTCATCTTCACTTGAATGAGTTTGGTGATCGAAATCTGTCAATAAGGCTTGCGTTATAGATGACTTGGTGTTTATCTACCTATCGATGTCTAATATAATAAACACATGAATATCACCAAAGATTTTCGTTTAGGAGACCAATATAGATTCATGAAGAAAACAACCAGACATCTGAGTGTTTAGAATGTTTATCCATGTTAGACAAGATTATCCTGAAGAGAGCGCATTAGAATCTGAATTTAGTTAAGTTTTCAGATTGTGGAAGTAACATTTGAACAATTAACAAGGTTTCATTTCACTTACATAGATAAGAAACCCACAAAATTAGCTCTTCCAAGTACTAATTCTTCCTCACGGACCAACATTCCTCTATATAGATACTCGAACTGTGAAAGTTTTGCTGATTTTGAAGCTCTCGAGTTGGCATCATTGTCCGTGTGAGGAGTCATGGAAAGAACAACTCTTCTAAGAGTCTCTCGGCTCTTGTAGTTGATGATCCAATCTTACTCTAAGTGTGTACTGAATGGGTAGCCGCTTTCGATTTTGCTATTAATGGGCCTTTCGATATCCTCCTTTCAGCTGACGTCATCCCAAAGAAGAAAACATCGCTAAGCATGCTGCTATAACTAACAAACTCAAATGACTTCACCAAGACCACAGTTTCATATTTCATATGCAATTAACATTTTTATAAATCAGTTTTTTTATATAAAAAAAAAAGAGAACATTTAGTTTAAAATTGTGTTATAACACTGTCATATGTAAATATTTGTCATCCTATCGTTATCAAAAAACTATTTTTAAGCGAGAAATTAAGTTTCAAAGTAGAGGTCCCAATTAAAAGCTTTGCAATAGAACACAAAGACAATTTTTTTACTAATGATTGATGTCTTCTTTTCTTGTGGGTTCTTCTTATTACGTAGAAAAGTTTAGAACCAATTGGTTCTTACAAAAAAGAAATGATAACTAAATAATAGAAAAAAAACAATTAAAGAGAAACTTTGCTATTAGTATGACTAGTGGCGGATCTAAAACTTGTCTTTAGCCGGAGCAAAGACTAAATTATAGGCATAATATAATACATTAAAAGGTAAATTAAACTCTTACACTAAAATTAAAAATGTCATGGTGGGCAACTGCCCCTCCCAATCACTATGTTCCTTATTCACTGGATGCAAGTAATAGATAAAGAATGGTAATCGTGACAATGTCTTAGTCAATGTATTTTGAGTTGGGTTCCTTTACACGTTTAGGCCTTCCTCTCATGTCCGTTGACTGTGCTATCTCATCAACTAACAATAAAGAAACGAAGACCTTACGTAACTACGTCATTATAATTAGTCTTTGCTGTTAACGCTTTTTTTTTTTTTTATTGGATACTATATGTGTTAAGAATATCTTTCTGGATTATCTCTATCGAGAATAGGAAATGTCATTGTGTATATATATTTGTATGTGAATGAATTAAAGGCACCACATTGCAAATTATTTCATTTTTTGTAAACAAACAAAAAAGCTTAGTCGAAGGTGTATTTCAGTATTTCTTTACCTTAGTCGACTATAAAAGAAAATTGATCTTCTTAACAAAAATGATTTGTGTGGCTCGTACTTAATCTTAAAAATATTTTAAGTGTCTCCTCGCATGATGCCAGGAGCAAAGCCTGTATAGACAATTTCCTACACTCTTCACCTAATCCTAATAACTAAATGAGAAAGCCTAGTGACGTAAATGACAATGCCTCTTTTGAAGAGGGAAAGATGAAATAAAGTAGATTAAAAGAAAAAAGCCTATTGACGTTATATAATTTATAACTGATAACTACATATAAGACTGATTACTCATCGGCGGCATCTTCTTTAAAAAAACACGCAAGAGAGGAGACCTTATTATAATGTATGCTTGTTTAGTTGTTTACTAGATCAATTCTTCTCTCCCTTTCGTCTCTGAATCATTCTTCTGATGATGACCAGATACATTTTGTTACTGCAATATTTCGAATTTGACTATCTTGAAGAATATTAAAACGTCTAAATTCTTGCAAAATATGTAACTTTAGAAGTAAGAAAAAACAAAAGAAATTGCCGGAAAGGTCTGTCTGTTGGGAATCAGTCCGATGTCACAATGCTACATCAGATGTCATCAAAACACATACATATATGATCCTACAACAGATCCAACAAAACCAAAAGAACAAAGGATGAAATAAAAAATATACAGAGACTCTATATAAATCCTAATTTATAATATAATTAGGAAACAAAATGATCGTAACAATTCAACATCCTAATAATATTATACACATGTATGATCAGTTTCCTGAAAATTAATCAGAGATTTCGTGGTAGCTTCCTCGCACACTCCAGAGTAATATAAATATAGTTTTTGGGTAGCAATGAAACCAAATCAGAGCCAAGTCTCAATAGTAAACACAACACAAAGTACTTTCTTGAAACGCAAGCAACCCAAAAAGATGCTTGAAACCGGCGCAATATGGGGATTAACCGGCACGACAGTGACCACCCTTATGTTCATTTGGGCGATTTACTCACAATACGCACCTCGCCAACTCCGAGACCACGTTGAGTCATACTTTTTCAAGATGACTGGATGGATCTCCGTAAACGTTCACATCAAATTCACCGAGCACACAGAAGAAGGTCTCAAGAGAAGCGAGAACTACGAAGCGATACGCAACTATTTATCCGCCAAAGTATCGGCTTGTGCGAAGAGGCTAATGGCTAATGAATCGAAAAACAGCAAATTGTTCGTGCTTAGTATGGACGATCACGAGGAAGTTGAAGATGTGCTCGCCAATGGTGTGAAGGTGAAGTGGTACTCGAATGTGAAGTTGACACAGACTCAGTCTAATTCTGGTCGAAGCAGCTCGGACGAGAGAAGGTTCTTTACGCTTACTTTCCATAAGCGACACAGAGAGATGATCATTGGGACTTATGTTACTCGTGTCTTGAAAGAAGGGAAAGAGATTGGTCTGAGGAACAGAGAGAGGAAGCTTTACACTAACAACTCGAGTTCAGAGTGGCAACCTTGGAGGTCAGGAATGTGGAGCAACGTTCCTTTCCATCATCCGGCGACATTCGAGACTTTGGCTATGGATCCTGAGAAGAAAGAAGAGATCAAGAAGGATTTGATTTGGTTTAGTGAAGCGGAAGCTAAAGCGTACTATGATCAAATTGGGAAGCCGTGGAAGCGAGGCTATCTCTTGTATGGCCCGCCCGGGACAGGGAAATCGACGATGATATCTGCGATAGCGAATTTATTGAAGTATGATGTGTATGATCTTGAGCTAACGACCGTGAAGGATAACTCAGAGCTAAAGAAGCTGTTGCTTGATACAAAAAGTAAGTCTATCATTGTGATTGAAGACATTGATTGCTCGCTTGATTTTACGGGGCAGAGAAAGAGCAAAAAGGAGGAAGATGAAGAAGAAGATGAGGAGAAGAAGAAGGAAGCTGAGAAGAAGAAGGAAATGAAGGAGCCTGCGAAACAGAGTAAAGTGACATTGTCAGGGCTACTAAACTCCATTGATGGGTTATGGTCGGCTTGTAGTGATGAGAAGATCATTATATTCACAACGAATTATGTGGATAAGCTTGATCCGGCATTGATACGCAGAGGAAGGATGGACAACCACATCGAGATGTCTTATTGCAGGTTTAAGGCATTCAAGGTTTTGGCTAAGAACTACTTAGGTATCAAGTCACACGAGTTGTATGGAGAAATCGAGAGATTGCTAGAGGAAACCGACATGTCTCCTGCGGATGTTGCAGAGACTTTGATGCGGAAATCTAATGAAGACTTAGGCGCTGCAGACATTTGCCTCGAGCGTTTGTTTAAGTCTTTGGAGGAAGAGAAGGAGAAAGCGAGGAAGTTGGCTGAGGAAGAGAAGAAGAAGAAAGGGGAGAAGGAAGAGAAGAGGATAAAGAAGGAAGCAGAGGATGCAGTGGAAGCAGAGAAGCCGATGAAGAAGACAGAGGAAGAAGATAAAGAAAAGAAAGTGTGAGTGGGTCAAACGAAAACGGCGACGTTTCTCAGAAAATTGGTACCAAACTAAGAAGATCCGAGGAAAAGAAGTGACGCCTGATGAATTTACGTTTATTGTTTGTTATGTTGTACTTTGCCATGGTGTTGCAAAATAAATTCTTAAGTTTAAATGCAAAAGTAAGATATAAACATATACTATATTGTTGTTGAGGATAATATGATAGGTCACAAGTTCTTGTTGGCAAATTTCTCTGCCTTTTCTTTTAGCTTTTTCGATTTATATAGGAAGCAAAGGTGGAAGCAAAGTGCAGTACAGGGAAAGAAACATGGGAACGTGAGAACTCTGTTCCTATAAACTAGGAGACTGAGTCTTACATCAATTATTTGCTAAATGAAAGGAAATAAAAACAAATTGAACAAACCGAGTCAATCCTGGTATCGTCGGTTTGGTTTCCTCATACGAACCTGTCGTTGGTTCACTTGGGCGATTCCAGTCGCATCATAATACAAAAAAAAAAAAAAGATCAAATTTATAATGTTTGTACTTTTTACACTATTTTAAGGATAATACACACTGATAAGTCTGATATATATATATATATATATATACATAATATATATATATATACATAATATATATATATATACGCCTTGATGTTAGTATACTATCCATAGAAGTTTTTCTGAAGTAGACAAACAAATCCTCAGCATCTTTTTACGTTTCTAGTGTACAGTGACAACACTAACAATATTCTTTGTCTAGGAGTTATAGGCTGATGGTATGTATTAGCGCCGGATCTGGGCCAAAACCTAATAAAACATTTGTTTTAGCTCCCAAAATTTTTTTGTTCAATTTAATCCATAAAATTTTTTTTTAAAGTTTTTTTTTGTATAACCAATTATAGGTTCCTATTTCTGTTTTTGTTTCAAGCCTCCAAAATTTCAGATTCGGCTCTGTATATTAGTAGTGTTGTTGTATATATTATCACACAAATTAGATCCAACCGGATATAATGCATATTATTGAAAAAAATCATTATTTTATTATAAAATAATATTCAGTATTCTACAAAAATAGAAAATTCATTATTTTTGTGAAGTTAACATCAAAAAACTGAAAAAAGACATCAAAAAGCTGAGAGTAAAAGAAGAAGTTAGCATCAAAATAAAATTATACTCGAAAAATGTTTTTCATATAGTTATTCTGCTATAAATTTTTTTTCATTTTTCTTGGATTCATATTTTTACACTACTTTTTCTGTTTCTTTTCCAATATTTCTCTCTCCTTTTTATTGCATTTTATAACAAGAAAACTGAAAAATTATTGTTAAATTTATGCTTTTCCAATCTTCAGGTCTAAAGAAATATAATGAATTCCGTATATTTTTTTATATAAGGTTTCCAAGATTTCTATCTCGTAATACAGGATTATCCTAAAGAGAGCGCACTAGAATCTGAATTTTGTCAAGATTTTAGATTTTGAAAAGTTGCACTTGAACAGTTACCAAGGCTGATAATTTCTTAATACTGACACTGGTTTCATGTAGCTTCTCTATTCCTTTTCAGTTTCATTTCACTTACATAGATAAAAAAAAACCCCACCAAATTAGATCTTCTAAGTCCTTACCAGTTTCTTCCTCACGAACCAACACTCCTCTATATAGACAAAATATATCCGTTACTTTGGTGGCAAATAAACTTAACACATGATCTATCTTTTTGGTCATTGAGCTTTGCTTCTTAATCTTTAATCATCGTTAGACTCAGAACTGTGAAAGTTGTACTGTTTACTGCTGATTTTGAAGCTTTCAATTGGCACATTGTTCGTATGAAAGGCTCAAATTTTTGACAAGTTATCTCTTCTATATGCTGTGGAAAGAGGGACTCTTCAAAGAAGCTCTCTGCTCTTGTAGACTAGTAGTGTGTACTGAATGACTCGGAGCCGGTTATGTTTTGGGCTTTCGATTTTGTTATTAATGGGCCTTTCGAAGCCCTATTTCTTGATAGTGCGTGAGTTGAGAAACTGACCGTCGGATTCGGAATCCTCGTTTTGTCATAATTTGTAATCAAAATTATTCAACTGACATCCTTCCAAAGAAGAAAGCATCGTTAAGCATGCTACATGCTGCTCTAAGCACACCCACGTACTAACAAACTAAAATGACATCAGCATGCTGCTCTAAGCACACCCACGTACTAACAAACTAAAATGACATCAGCATGCTGCTCTAAGCACACCCACGTTCTCATATTTCATATTCAACTAACATTTTTATTCATTAGTGTTTTTTTTTTAAGGAGAACACTTTTATAAAGTAGTTTACAATATGGTGTTATGCGTGATTATTTAACTGCTAAGCCGTTGTTAATTTTCTTATTTTTTTTGTTCTCGTAACTTCGTTTATATTTGCCAAAAGAAAAAAAAAATTCGTCATTATATAATTTGCGAGTATGACGTTTGAAAACTTAGTATTTGTTCATCCATCCAATAAAAATAAAATAAAAGATGTCGTGATTTTATAACATGTCATTATGTAAAATATACTTTCAAAAGATAACTTTATGTTTTAAGTTTCAAAGTTCATAGACTAAGAATAAAGAAACGAAGACCTTACGTAGTCACGTAATTAACTAGTCTTTGCTGTAAGCCAAACGCCTTTTTCGTAAACCGACAAAAACCTAAACTTGTAGTCGAAGGGGTATTACTTTACCACAGTTGACTTGACTAGAATTATAAAATTAAGAAAAATTAAATGATCAGTTCGTTAAGAAAAAATAATTTGTGGCTCGTACTTTACCCAAATTTTCTAATCTTAAAAATATTTTTAAGTGGCTCCTTGCGTGATGCCAGGAGCAAGCCTATGTACACAATTTTCTACACACTTCACCTAATCCTAAAAACTTCGTAAATGACAAAGCCTAGTGAGGTTATTCATTTATAATAAACCCTAAAATAAAATTAAAACATAATTATGAAACAAAACAATCGGAACATTTCCACATCATAGTAATATTATACACATGCATGTATGATCATTTTCCTGAAAATTAATCAGGGATTTCGTGGTAGCTTCCTCTGATACTAGAGAGTAATATAAATAGAGTTTGGGTAGCAATGAAACCAAATCAGAGCCAAGTCTCAAGAGAAACACAACCACAACATATTTTCTTGAAACGCAAGCAACCCAAAAAGATGCTTGAAACCGGAGCAATATGGGGACTAACCGGCACGACCGTGACGAGCCTTATGTTCATTTGGGCTATGTACTCACAATACGTCCCTCGCCATCTCCGAAACCACATTGAGAAATACGCTTTCAAGATGACTGGATGGATCTCTGTCTACGTTCACATCAAATTCACCGAGTACACAGAAGAAGGTCTCAAGAGAAGCGAGAACTACGAAGCCATACGCAACTATTTATCCGCCAATTCAGCGGCTCGTGCACAGAGGCTAAAGGCCAACGAATCCAAAAACAGCAAATCGTTGGTGCTGAGTATGGACGACCACGAGGAAGTTGAAGATGTGTTCGAAGGTGTGAAGGTGAAGTGGTACTCGAATGTGAAGGTGACACAGACTCAGTCTTATGGTCGAAACAGCTCGGACGAGAGAAGGTTCTTCACGCTTACTTTCCATAAGCGACACAGAGGGATGATCATTGAGACTTATGTTGATCATGTTTTGAGAGAAGGGAAAGCCATTGGGTTGAGGAACAGAGAGAGGAAGCTTTACACTAATAACTCGAGTTCAGAGTGGTATCCATGGAGGTCAGGAAAGTGGAGCAATGTTCCTTTCCATCATCCTGCGACATTCGAGACTCTGGCTATGGATCCTGAGAAGAAAGAAGGGATCAAGAAGGATTTGATTAAGTTTAGCAAAGGGAAAGATTATTACAAGAAGGTTGGGAAGCCATGGAAGCGAGGTTATCTCTTGTTTGGCCCGCCCGGGACAGGGAAATCGACGATGATCTCTGCCATAGCGAATTTCTTGGAGTATGATGTGTATGATCTTGAGCTAACGACAGTGAAGGATAACTCAGAGCTAAAGAAGCTGTTGCTTGATACAAAAGGTAAGTCTATCATTGTGATTGAAGACATTGATTGCTCGCTTGATCTTACGGGGCAGAGAAAGAAGAAAAAGGAGGAAGATGAAGAAGACGATGAGGAGAAGAAGAAGGAAGCTGAGAAGAAGGAGATAAAGGAGCCTGAGAAACAGAGTAAAGTGACACTGTCAGGGCTGCTAAACTCCATTGATGGGTTATGGTCAGCTTGTAGTGATGAGAAGATCATTATATTCACAACGAATTATGTGGATAAGCTTGATCCGGCATTGATACGCAGAGGAAGGATGGACAACCACATTGAGATGTCTTATTGCAGGTTTAAGGCATTCAAGGTTTTGGCCAAGAACTACTTAGATATCGAGACACACGAATTGTATGGAGAAATCGAGAGATTGCTAGCGGAAACCGACATGTCCCCTGCGGATGTTGCAGAGACTTTGATGCCGAAAGCTGATGAAGAAGATGCAGACATTTGCGTCAAGCGTTTGGTCAAGACTTTGGAGGAAGAGAAGGAGAAGGCCCGGAAGTTGGCTGAAGAAGAAGAGACGAAGAAAGCGGAGAAGGAAGAGAAGAGGAAAAAGAAGAAAGCAGAGGAAGCAGAGAAGAAGAAGACGGAGGAAGAAGAGAAGAAGAAGAAGAAGACAGAGGAAGAAGAGAAAGAAAAGAAAGTGAGTGGGTCAAACGAAAACGGCTACGTTTCTGAAATAAATGGTACCAACTAAAAAGATCAGAGGACAAGAAGTGACGCGAATTTAAGTTTATTGTTTGTTATGTTGTACTTTGGCATGGTGTTGCGAAATAATTTAAGTTTAAATGCAAAAGTAAGATATACACTTATACTATATTGTTGTTGAGGATAATACAACAAAAGATATCAATTTATAATGTTTGTACACTGTTTTTAAGGGTCATAAACACATTAATGTTTGTATACTATTCATAGAAATTTTTCTGAAGTAGACATACAAGTCCTCAGCATATTTTTAATAGTGTTACAGTACTAGAAAAAATATAAATCAGAAACAAATATACATATATATTCTTTAGATGAAGCCTTCATATTCTTGTTATTAAATGTTATATAAGATGATTCTGAATATAAGAGTCAACTAAAAGTCATTTTAATAGTAGTTTTGTGTTTTTTTTGCTCTCTCTTTGATGACCAAAGAATAATTTAAGAATGGGGTCCATGAGAAAGCATCCAAGTGGAAAAGGGTACAGCTCTAATCTCTATTCAAATATATCTGTCATGGACTCATGGTCAAGTAGCCACTTCTTCGTTGTTTCTTGGACAATTTAGAATTTTAGATCGTTGTCTCTTTGTTTCCTTTTCTGTTTTAATTAAAATGCATTTCAGAAAGAAAGAGAAAAAAAGTTGATGGAAACAGAGTTTGTGTAGACCTGTCTTAACATTTTACCAAAAAAATAAAACTCTTAATATAGTGGTACGTAAAAAATAGTGGTGCGATGTATGTCTGTTGCTTCCCGCGAGCCGTGAGCTAAACTTTTGCCTGTTAGATATTTTAGAAAGTGGAATTTTCTCGTTGTAATTTCTTTCATCTCTATAATGTGCTGTGTTCTTTACTTTAGTACCAGAATTAATTTTTCTTTTGCAATAGTAACAAAACACTTACATAACATGCACACGTTATTGTTTGGTTCAGAATTGGTCAGTACTCAGAAATCAGTTTGGTCCCCAAACCTAGCTTCAAGCTCATAGCATCTTCATAAATAAGCAAATAACCAAAATCTTTGAATTACTTTTAGTCAAACTCGTACCCAAAAACATGAAAACTACATGTGAACAAAATATGTACAATTGCAGGGTGCCTCTACTTTACAGCAATTTCATTAAAAAAATAAATTCTTTTTACTAGACACTCGAAAGTTGTGACACAAGACTACAAGAGTAGAATTCATAGAGAGTGAGTTAGTTAAGAAGCAAAAAGACCAAAACAGAGCATGTTAAGAAGAGTTATTATAACTGTTGACTAGTCTCTTAGTATTTCTCAATTCTTCTTGATGAGTCTCTTAGTATTCCTCAATTCTTCTTGAATAATCTCATTGTATTTATGTTCTCTTTGACTTGTCTCTTAGTATTCATAAATTGTATTCTTATATAAATTGATCTCATGTACAACTATTACTATGAGACACTAATAACATTTTTCCCATTCTATTTCTCTCATCGTCTCAACAGAGCAAAGCTAAAAAAAGTCTCGAGAGAAATAAAAAAACAAAGAGTTTCGTGAAACACAAAGATGCTTGAGACAGGAGCATTCTGGGGATTCACAGGCTCGACGATGACGAGTCTTATGTTCTTCTGGGCAATGTACAAACAATTTTTCCCTTACCATCTCCGAGCCAAAATGGAGAAATGGGTTTGCAACTTGATGGGATGGGCTTCAAACTCTGTTCACATCAAGTTCAACGAGTATGCAGGAGAAGGTCTCAAGAGAAGCGAAGCTTACGACTCCATACGCAACTACCTATCCTCAAAATCAACAGCTTGTGCAAAGAGGTTAAAGGCTAACGAAACGCAGAACAGCAAATCGTTGGTTATTAGCTTGGACGATCAAGAAGTAGTTGAGGATGTGTTTGATGGTGTGAAGGTGAAATGGTCTTCGAGTGTGACAAAGAGCAAAAATAAAAATGGTTCATCGAACGAGAGAAGGTACCTGACTCTGAGATTTCACAATCGGGATAGAGAGACGATCACAAAGACTTATCTTGATCACGTTTTGAGACAAGGGAAAGAGATTGGGCTGAAGAACAGAGAGAGGAAGCTTTACACTAACAATAGCTCATGTTATGATTGGTCTGCTTGGAGGGAAGGCAAAACATGGTGTAATGTTCCTTTTAACCATCCTGCAACGTTCGATACTTTGGCTATGGATCCTGAGAAGAAAGAAAAGATCAAGAAGGATTTGATTAAGTTTAGCAAAGGGAAAGATTATTACAAGAAAGTTGGGAAGCCATGGAAGCGAGGTTATCTTTTGTTTGGTCCGCCTGGGACAGGGAAATCGACCATGATCTCTGCAATGGCGAATTTCTTGGAGTACGATGTGTACGATCTTGAGCTAACGACTGTGACGAATAATTCTGACTTGAAGAGGTTGTTGTTGGACACTAAAGGGAGATCTATACGGATCGTCATATACGTA